GAACGTGCCATCGGCATGTTGCAGACGGAAACGTCCGTAGCTGAAGTCGCAAGAACGATGGGTTGTAGTCGACGGACTGTTTATGATTTACAGACGCGTCTACAGCAAACGGGTACCACCGCTGATCGCCCTCGGCCAGGTCGACCACTACAAACGTGTGACGTCACATGCAGAGGATCGTCAGATTGTCTTACGTCACCTCCGTAACCGATTTTGACGGCTACATCAACCGGAAATGAACTGTTTAGGGGTAGACTGAGTGCGCAAACTGTTCGAAACCGTCTGAGAACTGCTCACCTTCAAGCATGACGACCATACTGCGGGCCGATTCTGACTCAATTACACAGATGTCAACGTCAATTGTGGGCACAGCGACACTTACGATGGACTCAGAGGAATTGGAATCAAGTCGTCTTCAGTGATGTATCCCGATTTATTCTTCGATTTGCTGATGGTAGGGCGAGGGTGTGGAGGCGCCGTCATGAACGTTACGACCAGTGTTGTGTACAGGAAGTTGACAGATTTCGAGGCGGAAGTGTCATGGTGTGGGGTGCCGTCTGTGGCAATGCACGTTCCAGGCTTCTTGTCATCCGTGGCAAGCTCAACGCTGCTGCTTACCGCGACCAGGTACTGGCACCAGAACTTCTGCCTTTTTATGGCAGCACATGGACCCGGTTTGATCTTCCAACACGACAATGCCAGACCCCACACAGCAATTTTGACAAGGAATTTCCTTCAGAATGCGGGAGTCAACGTCATGGCCTGGCCGTCAAGGTCTCCCGACCTCAATCCCATCGAACACGTCTGGGATGCTCTTGGCAGAAGTCTGCGCACTCTCCAGAACCAACCACAGAATTTGCAAGATCTTGGCACCATTTTGCAGCAACAATGGCGTCGTCTTCCCAATCATGTGTTCACAAGCATCACTAGGTCCATGCGGAGGCGTTGTGTGGCAGTTGTCAACGCACATGGTGGCCATACACGCTACTGAACTTGTGTGCCATCAGATTCTCGTGCTTGGGACTTATGATTTAAACTGTTGATGTTATTACCGAATACCGTAGGTGCTTGGAACAAATTATGGTTACAACCGTTAATTAAAATCCTTCTTTGGACATTAATGATTAAAAATTACCTTCTCTGATACATTTGTCTGTTGTATATCATATATGGGATTACTTTTAAAAATGTGAAGTTTTTAATTTGACTCAGTATATATTTAGGATATTAACATCCGCCCTGTCCATCAAAATCATTATTCATATCGACGACCAGCGACAAGTTTGCCATAACCTAACCAGTGTAAACTGAGACTTGCCACGTGATGCATGAAGTCTGCAACAGCACTTCACAAAACAAAGAAAATATACAACATGAGCCAATATTTTAAGCTTACCGTAATCTAAACTTACCTTCGTGATATTATTAATCTATTTAATTCCTAAAGATAGAAATGTTAGGTCTGGTGAGTATGGAGAGAGAGGACACTCCGCGAACCCACATTGTCGTACAGCAGCCTTTGCAAGTCGAGAGAGGTGAGAAGAGCCATTGCCATGGTTCCTCGTAGCTTTTCTTTGATAGGATCTCTCAGGCAATGAAGCAAATCAGCACAGTAGGCACCGGTAATCGTCTTTTGACTTTCTAAGTAATCAACAAGGATCACACCCTTTAAGTCCCAGAATACAGCGGCCATAACTTTCTTCACTGATCTTGAAGACTTGAATATCTTTGGTACCGGAGAAGTGGAATGGTGCCATTTCATGTATTGACGTTTAGAGTCAGGATCATAGTGGTAGACCCATGTTTCATCACCCGTTATTAATCTCTTTTTGAATTTGACGAAATCCTACTCATTTAGCTCTAAATTGTCTCTGGCAATTTCAGCTCTTTTTCCTTAAGATCAGAATTTAGAAACTTTGGCACCCAACGAGCAGATGTCTTATTCGTCTGTAAATGTTCAGAAATAATAGTTTCAATGGACACGTGGCTTAGACCTGTGTCTACCTTAGACCTGTAATACGTCTTTCTGACAGTAAAAGTTTTTCTATCCCCTTGATTGAAACTTCATTGATGGAAGTTGAGGGACGTCCAGGCCTAGGGTCATCATCAAAGCTTCTTCTCCCAGCCTTAAACATAGCTGCCCAACAGTGGACTAGCTAGGCGGCACTTATCCCCATACACTTGTGACATGCGGTCATGAATTTCTTGGGGAGTACTTTTCCCTACAGTTAAAATCTTGATGACTGCTCCTTCCTTTCCATTTATGTGTCTATTTGGACCCCTATCACGTTCAACTGTCACTAATATACAACCGGCCTCAACAGACCAAATACACGTGCAATGAACTACTCAAACAATGTACTACATTGACCAGTTCACTTTCTTATGGCCCATAGTTGAAAGTTAGTCATGCTTAGAACGTTTTGACCATGAAGAACGTTATTTTCCTCGATTAACTACAGTAAGGCCTTATTCACATACCTTTCATAACAAACAATTCCTCCATTAAATAGATTGTATTGCATGTAAAGATGTTGGACTTGAATGTATGGAATAATTTCTATTTCATTTAATTCCGTCTCAAACAATCTCGACAATGCCACATACTATGACCTTGGAAAATTTTGCAGTGTCAGGTTGTTGCGCTTTGGCTAGTTTTGACACTTTTTGTTTGTTATTGTAAGGACAACATTACAACACGACAGTGTCCCTTCTGGAATACCATAGTATCAATCCACATAGCAGGCTCAGTGAAGAAGGTATATGTGCCTGTCACGTAAAATAGCCGTAATACCAACCCATGCTTCTGTTGACAATAAATACGTGCCACTTCCAACGCATGTCCTCCTCCACAGTGACAGCTAATGTCTGGAGGTTCACTACGAGGGGGTATCAGGTTATTTTCAGCCTTGCAGTCATGTTTGATACATGTCATGTTGCGTAGATCGATGCTCATGGTGCCAGTCACTGGATTTACTGGTCAAGACTCAGTTATTAACTATTTTGTTTGTTGTTTAACGCCCCACTAAGAAATATTCCCGCTATATGACGGCGGTCTGTAAAAAATATAGTCTGGGCCAGACAATCCTCTGATTGACATCACGAGCATCGATCCACGCAATTGGGATACGATGACATGCATCAACCAAGTCAGCGAGCCTGACCACCCGTTCCTGTTAGTCGCCTCTTACCACAAGCATAGTCGCCTTTTATGGCAGGCATGGGTTGCTGAAGACCTATTCTATAAATCCAGATCTTCACGGTCCGGTTACTTGCAGACCGCCGTCTAATAGCGGGAATATTGCTGAGTGCGGCATTAAACAACTAACAAACAAAACTTTAGGTCCGTTATCTCTGTCTTGTAGGTCAAATCTATGTTTGTCAACCACCCCTCCACAGCAGCAACCAAATCTTGGTCCCCATTAAAAGCTCTTACCACACAAGTGTCTATTTTAAAAATTGAAGACAGGTGGTAGTCACTATGGGCCAGACCTGGTCATTAAGGTAAACTACTAGAAGCTCGTTTCCACATTTTCTAGACTGACATAAAGTCCCGTAAATAAAGTTATTTATAAGGTTAAATAGATATAATTCTGAAAGGGAACCCCCGTGTATTAAGTCTCCTAATTTCAAAGCTGATAATGGCTGAGTATTGGCTGATAGAGCTGTGGGGGGGGGGGGGGGGGGGATGAGGGGAGGAACAGGGGTTATTGTTTTATATGCTCTGGGATATGTAAATAAAAGCGACAAACTATTTCCATATGCATAAGAAATCTCACTCAAAAATCAATTGTACGATTCCGACCTTATTATGAGCATGTTTTTTTCTGAATCACTATCCAATAGTAGTGATGATACCAGGTGTTCGTGACACGATGAGTATACAAAGTCGTACAAAGTCAAGACAGATGATCACCTAAAAATACACAGGAACATATGGTTCAAGTCAAAATAGGGAATAAAACTTTTTGAAAGCCGTACTGAGGCCTTGAATGTTGTAACCTTGATCAAACAACTTCTGAGCAGGAGTTGTATGACGTTCTTTGAAATCTTGGTAGAAAGAGCATGCTGGATTGTATCTCAGAAGTTGTAGACACCAAAGGCCGGGTGTTGCAGGTATTTTGCTCAACATAAGGGGAAAGTTGACTATTGGAAAGTTGAAGTCATCCCTCTTGTCATACAGTCTTGTGGAGAGTGTTTTGGCGATCTGAATCTTTATGCATAGATCTAAATATGACACAAATGAGGCAGTCTCACTGGTTTCCGTTATTTCTAGTTCAGATGGGTAAAGAGATACGTGACTGGTGTGAACTGGAGTATTGCCCTGGTGGAGATCACCACGTCCAAGTTCTCGGGACACTAGCTTCTCTTTGATAGATACGCGCAATCATGGAACTCACTATCCTAGTGTGTAACTCTTTCACCCAATGTTTATCTGTGGCATGGGATGGAGTAGCTTCCTCCCAAACAACATGCAACCAATCATCAACATTCTTTAGTGACTGCTCTATACTCAGTTTTTTCCATTTCAATACAAAGGGGTGGAGACCATTAAAGTTAATTATCAAGAAAATTACTGGACAGAAGCACGACAAATTGGGAAAGGTGATTCAACAATATTAATATGTGTCACACATAAGCATAAAAACCCAGATAAGTCAGGATCAAAACATTCCGATATCCCTCAAGGGTTACGAGGCCACTTCAACAGTGACCTTGACCATGAAACACAATGTTTCTTTACAATGCCTTCTGTGTGTTTGTTCTGTTTATGGCTTCCATGTTGTAAGGATTCACTTTGTTGGCATGTGACGGAGGCACAGGTCGGAATACCCTTAAGTATGCAGTTTAGTTCGTTTCATTCGTACAAAACATATCCCATCTTTCACTCTGCTTAGTTAGACAAGACATAGATTTGCTTCACCTGATGTATGGTATGGACAGATGATATTGAAAGAGCCAAACACATTCATGTGGGAGGAAAACATACATCAAAACACTTATAATCAAGTACATTTTATTCATCCAATGCATTGATACAATATCACAGAAGTTTATCTATCAAATTACATAAAATATAAAGTACAATCAAAGAATCTTTCCATAATATTTCATTGACATTTCTGCCAAAACACATTGTGCAGCAGGTTAGCTGCAACAACACATTGTACAACATGTCTGCTACAACAACACATTGTACAACATGTCTGCTACAACAACACATTGTACAACATGTCTGCTACAACACATTGTACAACATGTCTGCTCCAACAACACATTGTACAACATGTCTGCTACAACAACACATTGTACAACATGTCTGCTCCAACAACACATTGTACAACATGTCTGCTACAACAACACATTGTACAACATGTCTGCTCCAACAACACATTGTACAACATGTCTGCTCCAACAACACATTGTACAACATGTCTGCTACAACACATTGTACAACATGTCTGCTACAACAACACATTGTACAACATGTCTGCTACAACAACACATTGTACAACATGTCTGCTACAACACATTGTACAACATGTCTGCTCCAACAACACATTGTACAACATGTCTGCTCCAACAACACGTTGTACAACATGTCTGCTACAACAACACATTATACAACATGTCTGCTACAACAACACATTATAAGGCAAGTCTGCTACAAAACACTACCTTGTTACAAAATATGCTATGTAATGTTTGTCCAATTCTATTTCTTCAATTGTTATTGTACAAGTAAACTCTATATTTTTTTTTTTCAGTTAGCATAAAGACCAGTGAAGAAACTTCAGCTGACAAGGTTGTTTTATCACAAACTTTCAGAATGAAGACTGGTGACTTGTTCATCAGACAGGTAGATCAGGGCATTCAGCTGTGACCTGGCCACACAAACATTCTTTCGAACAGCTATCTGTTCTAAGTGTAAAACTACATACTTCATGACCAAACCTATATTTGGAAATTATTAATCAATAAAGACTGCATTCCCATGAGAGCTCTTATATGTAAGACTGTACCAACACAGGGTAATTTGTATGAGGTTCTTTTCTGACAAACCTCAGTCAACAGAAACAGGTAAACTTGTGTTTAAGGTTGTATTCAATAAAATATCTCTTATATAGCAACGTGCATGCATGTGGCTACTTGTAGTGGTACTAATGGGCCACGGTTTAACATGGTTACCCCACTCTGACACCGACTACTTTACACCCACAAGTCCTTGTATCCACTTATATTAGGAAACAACAAGTACCACCTTTTAATGTCTTTTGGCATGATGCAGATGTGGATTATTCTTTCTTTGAGTTAAGTTGTGATAATATGTGCACACTTATCATGAATAGACAAGGTAGGCATCACACTAGTATAAGATGCTGTAGACCAAACTTAAACCCAACTTCTGAATTAATGAAGTTAATGAAAGGGAAATAATTTTAATTATTAAGAACAACACATCAGGGGAATATACAACCTTACCTTTTAGGCACATTTAATTGTGAATTTCTAAGAGTAACAGTGCCTTTAAATACTGTATGTGAAAGATCAAAACATTCCTATCTAATAACTCTAGTGGCTAAACACCCCACAGCACCAGTCAATAAGATAAACAGCATACTGCTACTGTTGGATATACAGAGGTGTGTATGTATACAGGTGTCACCTGTCACATGTTATGTAGCTGACAGCTACAGATGACACTTGTCATATTACACATGTGACAGCTACAGGTGTCACCTGTCACATTACACAGGTGAGAGCTACAGTTGTCACCTGTCACATGTTATCTAGCTGACAGCTACAGATGACACTTGTCACATTACACAAGTGAGAGCTTCAGGTGTCACCTGTCACATTACACAAGTGACTGCTACAGGTGACACATGTTATGTAGCTTAGAGATACAGGTGTTGCCTGTCACATGTTATACAGTTGAGAGCTACAGGTGTTGCCGGTCACATTATACAGGTGAGAGCTTCAGGTGACACCTGTCACATGTTATGTAGCTGAAAGCTAGAAGTGTCACCTAAGACCAAAGTTTTCCATTGGAGAGCTACTGATATCAGATGTCAGAGGTACACTAGTTTTACACAAAAGTAGACAATATTACAGCTATATAATCTTTGAGGGTAAATAATCAAGTATGGACTAAACACCAGTGGTCACATTGTAACATCCAGTCCCTGAACTGTTGTTAAGACTAGTTATCGTACATATATACTGCTCCCGAGGCAGTTTAGATCCAAATTATTAATCAGCACTTGACAAACCCACACTTGCAGAGCTCTGTGTAACCTTTAGGATGAAACTGGTCACACTGTCCCCAGGACACACCCCTTCCTAACCCTCTCACATACACACAAGTCCTATCACAAGGAACTGTATAAACTTAGTTGACATTCATTTAAAGTAGCTAAAGTTTCTTCTTTACAACTAACCATGTAGCTGCCAAACTTCAATTGCTAAATCCATGCCAAATCTGTGTACATTGTTAAGCAATTATCACAGATAATAGGAGGTCAACACACAATGCTAATATACAAATAAATAGATGGTATTATACAGTACAACCACATAACAATTAATAAACCTTTTCTAAAATCAAGTTATCATAAATTCAGCATATTATCTCCATCATAATAACATTTCTGGCACAGTAAAACAGGTGTACATGGCAAAAAACTACCCAAAGCATATGATATCAGAAGTAACAAAAATATCTTACTATTGTTTATGCATGGAATGGATGGCAATTAAAAGGATCAGTATATAGTAATATTCTCCACCACTACCTGATCAGAGGCAGAAATGTTGTAGGAATTTCAGGGTGCTTCAAGAATTCATGGCCTTAACATCTGTCATATTCCGAGTGGGGAAGGTGAAGAAAGGCCACAACTGCCTGTTGTTCTGATGGAGTTGGCTCATAACCAAATATGGAAAACACAGTTTTTGAAAAAAACAAAATACAAAGAAATCCATCACAGCTGTATCCTGACAAAGTTTTTTGAGAAAGCAAACACAACAACTTTACACCTGCATCATCATTGGACGGAATCACTTCCTTGAATATCACAGAGAAAATAATGAAATAAAATAACACAACCAGATTTACAACAATAATAATCCTACAGGACTGTAGTCAAGTATTCTTAATACTGTATCACACTAGGTATATAATACTTTGATACTGCTACAGTTGTAACACAGACTCAAGTACTGTATTTCAACAATATTTCCTAAAGGCACCTTTTATCTATTAACCAATTATCACAAATTATTGATTGAAAGTCTGTTGTAGAAATTATGCAAAACCTATTGTCTCTTCAGACTTCTCTCACCTTTTGGAGGACAAAAAGACAATTGTAGAATAACATTTCCTGGGAGAGAAAGTGTTTGTAACTATTTTCATAATTAGCAAGAGCCACCAGGAGAGTTTGAATCCCCCAATGTTTGATGAAGAATTTTTAAACTAATCTATTAATTTCTAAATGCACCTATGTTGTATGTCACATTATCACGTCAAGTCACTCCTTTAAGAACGAAAACCAAGAGAAATAATTGACTATAAGTACATAGGAAGCAGACATCACAATCTGTCCTTCCCTGATAGTGCTACAGTACATATTGTTCCCATACAGTAGACTCTCTGTTACTTCATTGGTGGAATTATTTCTCGTCTAAATTACAAAGAAGTTTCAGTGATTGGACATATCTCTCAAAAATACATGTTTTAATCGATGCTTCATTACTAAATCTCTTGTCTCTCTCTGCAGTCATGTGGAGAGCCACAGTCGCATTACACCAGCTCCAGGGAGTCAATATCCAAGTATCAAAACCTAAAACAAACAGAAACAATATAGCTAACTCATGCAAAGATATCATATCTGAATTTTCATACATATTGCCGAAACTCAACAAGTGTATTCAAACAGAGCTATATTAATGTTACATAAATTCAAAGATTCATGAAAACAGTTGATGAAAATGTCTTATGGAGTGATTACTATTCAATTAAAAAAGAGCCTCTATTCATCTGTGTAGAGGTGCACTGCCAGATGTTGACCTCCTAGGTATAACATGATGTGTCCCCCTGTTGACCTTCTAGGTATAACATGATATGTCCCCCTGTTGACCTCCTAGGTATAACATGGCATGTCCCCTGTTGACCTCCTAGGTATAACATGATATGTCCCCCTGTTGACCTTGGTATAACATGATATGTCTCCCTGTTGACCTTGGTATAATATAACATGTCTCCTGTTGACATCCTTGGTATAACATGACATGTCTCCTGTTGACATCCTTGGTATAACATGACATGTCTCCTGTTGACATCCTAGGTATAACATGACATGTCTCCTGTTGACATCCTAGGTATAACATGACATGTCTCCTGTTGACATCCTAGGTATAACATGACATGTCTCCTGTTGACATCCTAGGTATAACATGATATGTCTCCTGTTGACATCCTAGGTATAACATGACATGTCCCCCTGTTGACCTTGGTATAACATAATATGTCTCCCTGTTGACCTTCTAGGTATAACATGACATGTCTCCTGTTGACCTTCTAGGTATAACATATGTCTCCCTGTTGACCTTCTAGGTATAACATGACCTGTCTAATGTTGAACTAGGTATAACATGACATGTGTATAACATGACATGCCTCCCTGTTGACTTCCTAGGCATAACATGATATGTCCCCTGTTGACCTCCTAGGTATAACATGACATGTCCCCTGTTGACCTCCTAGGTATAACATGATATGTTCCCCTGTTGACCTTCCAAGTATAAAATGATATGTCCCCCTGTTGACCTTGCTATAACATGATATGTCTCCCCGCTGACCTCCTAGGTATAACATGATATTGCACCCTGTTGACCTTGGTATAACATGACATGTCCCCCTGTTAACCTTCTAGGTATAACATGACATGTCCCCTGTTGACCAAATAAGTATAACATGATATGTCTCCCTGTTGACCTTCCAAGTATAACATGACATGTCCCCCTATTGACCTCCTAGGCATAACATGTTATGTCCCCTGTTGACCTCCTAGGTATAACATGATATGTTCCCGTTGACCTTCCAAGTATAACATGATATGTCTCCCTGCTGACCTTCTAGGCATAACATGACATATCCCCTGTTGACCTCCTAGGTATAACATGACATGTCTCCCTGTTGACCTCCTTGGTATAACATGACATGTCCCCCTGTTGACCTTCTAGGTATTACATGACATGTCCCCCCGTTGACCACCTAGGTATAAGATGACTTGTCACCTGTTGACCTTCTAGGTATAACATGACCTGTCTCCTGTTGACCTTGGTTTGACATGATATGTCTCCCTGCTGACCTCCTAGGTATAACATGATATGTCCCCCTGTTGACCTTGGTATAACATGATATGTCTCCCTGTTGACCTTGGTATAATATAACATATCTCCTGTTGACATCCTAGGTATAACATGACATGTCTCCTGTTGACATCCTAGGTATAACATGACATGTCTCCCTGCTGACCTCCTAGGTATAACATGATATGTCCCCCTGTTGACATCCTAGGTATAACATGATATGTCTCCTGTTGACATCCTAGGTATAACATGACATGTCTCCTGTTGACATCCTAGGTATAACATGACATGTCTCCTGTTGACATCCTAGGTATAACATGACATGTCTCCTGTTGACATCCTAGGTATAACATGATATGTCTCCTGTTGACATCCTAGGTATAACATGACATGTCCCCCTGTTGACCTTGGTATAACATAATATGTCTCCCTGTTGACCTTCTAGGTATAACATGACATGTCTCCTGTTGACCTTCTAGGTATAACATATGTCTCCCTGTTGACCTAGGTATAACATGACCTGTCTAATGTTGAACTAGGTATAACATGACATGTGTATAACATGACATGCCTCCCTGTTGACTTCCTAGGCATAACATGATATGTCCCCTGTTGACCTCCTAGGTATAACATGACATGTCCCCTGTTGACCTCCTAGGTATAACATGATATGTTCCCCTGTTGACCTTCCAAGTATAAAATGATATGTCCCCCTGTTGACCTTGCTATAACATGATATGTCTCCCCGCTGACCTCCTAGGTATAACATGATATTGCACCCTGTTGACCTTGGTATAACATGACATGTCCCCCTGTTAACCTTCTAGGTATAACATGACCTGTCTCCTGTTGACCTTGGTTTGACATGATATGTCTCCCTGCTGACCTCCTAGGTATAACATGATATGTCCCCCTGTTGACATCCTAGGTATAACATGATATGTCTCCTGTTGACATCCTAGGTATAACATGACATGTCTCCTGTTGACATCCTAGGTATAACATGACATGTCCCCCTGTTGACCTTTGTATAACATAATATGTCTCCCTGTTGACCTTCTAGGTATAACATGACATGTCTCATGTTGACCTTCTAGGTATAACATATGTCTCCCTGTTGACCTTCTAGGTATAACATAACATGTCCCCCTGTTGACCTTGGTATAATGTGATATGTCTCCCTGTTGACCTTGGTATAATGTGATGTCTCCCTGTTGACCTTCTAGGTATAACATGACATGTCCCCCTGTTGACCTTGGTATAATGTGATATGTCTCCCTGTTGACCTTGGTATAATATAACATGTCTCCTGTTGACATCCTAGGTATAACATGACATGTCTCCTGTTGACATCCTAGGTATAACATGACATGTCTCCTGTTGCCATGCTAGGTATAACATGACATGTCTCCTGTTGACATCCTAGGTATAACATGATATGTCTCCTGTTGACATCCTAGGTATAACATGACATGACTCCTGTTGACATCCTAGGTATAACATGACATGTCTCCTGTTGACATCCTAGGTATAACATGACATGTCCCCCTGTTGACCTTTGTATAACATAATATGTCTCCCTGTTGACTTTCTAGGTATAACATGACATGTCTCATGTTGACCTTCTAGGTATAACATATGTCTCCCTGTTGACCTTCTAGGTATAACATAACATGTCCCCCTGTTGACCTTGGTATAATGTGATATGTCTCCCTGTTGACCTTGGTATAATGTGATGTCTCCCTGTTGACCTTCTAGGTATAACATATGTCTCCCTGTTGACCTTCTAGGTATAACATGACATGTCCCCTGTTGACCTTGGTATAATGTGATATATCTCCCTGTTGACCTTGGTATAATGTGATATGTCTCCCTGTTGACCTTCTAGGTATAACATGACATGTATAATGTTGACCTTGGTATAACATGACATGCCCCCCTGTTGACCTTCTAGGTATAACATGACATGTCTAATGTTGAACTAGGTATAACATGACATGCGTATAACATGAAATGCCTCCCTGTTGACTTCCTAGTCATAACATGACATGTCCCCCTGTTGACCTTCTAGGTATAACATGACATATCCCCTGTTGACCTCCTAGGTATAACATGATAGGTCTCCCTGTTGACCTCCTGGGTATAACATGACATGTCCCCCTGTTGACCTTCTAGGTATAACATGACATGTACCCTGTTGACCTTCTAGGTATAACATGACATGTCCCCCTGTTGAACACCTAGGTATAATATGATATGTCACCTGTTGACCCCCTAGGTATAACATGACATGTCCCCCCGTTGACCACCTAGGTATAAGATGACATGTCACCTGTTGACCTTCTAGGTATAACATGACATGTCTCCTGTTGACCTTGGTATGACATGATATGTCTCCCTGCTAACCTCCTAGGTATAACATGATATGTCTCCTGTTGACCTTCTAGGTATAACATGATATGTCCCCTTTGACCTTCTAGGTATAACATGATATGCCCCCCTGTTGACCTTCTAGGTATAACATGATATGTCCCCCTGTTGACCTTCTAGGTATAACATGATATGTCTCCTGTTGACCTTCTAGGTATATCATGACATGTCTCCTGTTGACCTTCTAGGTATAAAATGACATGTCCCCTGTTGACCTTCTAGGTATATCATGACATGTCTCCTGTTGACCTTCTAGGTATACCATGACATGTCTCCTGTTGACCTTCTAGGTATATCATGACATGTCTCCTGTTGACCTTCTAGGTATACCATGACATGTCTCCTGTTGACCTTCTAGGTATATCATGACATGTCTCCTGTTGACCTTCTAGGTATAACATGACATGTCTCCCTGTTGACCTTCTAGGTGAGTTGAAATTGGGTTTAACGTCGCGTCCAAGATTATTGCACTTATATAGCGACGTGCATGTACGTGTGTGTGTTTGTGTGGCTGCTTGTTCTAGTCCGGACTGATGCCGATTTATAGTGCTAGCCCACTGAGATACCATGCCGCAGTTTAACATGAATACCCCACTCAGACACAGTATACTGACTCCGAGCCGACCAGTTCTTGTTTGAGCCCCTTGGTGCCGAGCGCCAGACAGGGTAACAACAAGTACCATTTTTAAACATCTTTTGGTATGACGCGGTCGGGGATCTAACCCCGGACCTTCCACTCTCTGGGCGGACACTCTACCACTAGACCATGGTGGCTGTCCTGTTGACCTTCTAGGCATAACATGATATGTCTCCCTGTTGACCTTGTTTTAACATGACATGCTGTTGACCTCCTAGGTATTACAGGATATGTCACCTGTTGACCTCCTAGGTATAACAGGATATGTCTCCTGTTGACCTCCTAGGTATAACATGATATGTCCCCCTGTTGACCTTCTAGGTATAACATGATATATCTCCTGTTGACCTCCTAGGTATAACATGACCTGCCCCCCTGTTGACCTCCTAGGTATAACAGGATATGTATCCTGTTAACCTCCTAGGTATAACTTGACATGCCCCCCTGTTGACCTCCTAGGTATAACAGGATATATCTCCTGTTGACCGCCTAGGTATAACATGATATGTCCCCCTGTTGACCTTCTAGGTATAACATGATATGTCTCCCTGTTGACCTTGTTATAACATGACATGCCCCCCTGTTGACCTCCTAGGTATAACAGGATATGTCACCTGTTGACCTCCTAGGTATAACATGACATGCCCCCCTGTTGACCTCCTAGGTATAACAGGATATGTCTCCCTGTTGACCTTCTAGGTATAACATGATATGTTCCCCTGTTGAGTACCACACTGCTTACGTGTCCATCAGGTCCGCCCTCTGCCCTGTATACTTCTCGATGAGATGGTCAGCATAGCGCCTCTGGGCATCACTCAACACTGTGGGCTCCAGGCTGCAACAGAGGCAAGCATGACGTTCACGGATCACAGTGTCACAGACATAGCCAGGTAGTCACAGGTATTGGCACATAAATCTTATAGCAATATATCTCCATATGAAGAGCTGTATTGTCATATATATTGCAATATATATTAGGGTCCAAATTACATACATATTTGTACTGTTCAAATGGTACTTCTTCATTCAATAATCCCAACTTCAGATAGAGATATGGGTAGTATGGGTAAGAGACCAACTATTATGTCATCAATATGGAATGTTAATGTAAACAGTGTGTTGTAAATTACTGTATTTACTGCCAACATCAACATGAGTACATGCTTGTCACCACGGTCAGCACACAGACTGCATCACACCTCCAACACTACCAGTATCAGACACTCATCAATGTACTTCTAGGATGCTGTATATATACATTGGGTTTTGTGCGATGAAAATGACTGCATTTCATGAAATAAAGTGGCTTCCCTTAGGCTGTTTGTTGTGTTCAGGTGTTGCCAGACAGTGCAGACAGGGGGAGAAGTGACACAGCCACACAATATACCATACCTCGGATGCAGTCAAAACAAAAGGTAATACTACTTAATATGAGTCCCAACATTTCATTATGCAGAATAGAAAATATAACTTTCAAACTGAAGTCTCATGTGACATATCTTGAACAATATGACAAGTTGACAAATAAAATATATAAAATGTTGTTGCTTTGGTGTTTATTTCCAAATAAACCTCTCAAAATGAAAGTCCCAAATGACAAAAAGAAAAATATAAACAAATTTCTATTCTTCAAACATTCTCACAATTAAGGACTGGTGTGGACATATTATATTCCCTAACTCACAGATAATGTAAAACATACAAGCATATCAAAGGAGATGGCTTTTGAAAGTCAAGTTAGGTCTTGTTTAGTAAAAAATATTATAATTAGTAGATAGCAAATATATAATAAAGGGAAACCAGAAAGTCACATCTAAAAAATATGAAAAAGACATGAATACAGATTTTGAAAACAGTGGTGACTTGTCTGTAAGAGGAGAGAACACACAGTGTCATGGTCCCAGATCATCACACTCCAGGCAGAACAGGAGGAAATACAGATGAACAAGCATCCAAAATTGAACTTGGACAATGAGCCACTAGGCTACCCCACCACCCTGACCTTGGACAGTGACATACACAGGTCTTATATGCCTCTTCACACTCCTATTGTTTAACAAAAAAATGATATTCAAATTTCCTGAAGTGTTATCAATAACAGAGCGAGTCAGTGAATGTTGATTACCTGAAATGTTATCAATAACAGAGCAAGTCAGTGAATGTTGATTAATGCAGTATGGCAGCTATATCATCAAGAGCTGTAAGTCATAGGGTTTGGACCAGACAAATCAATGATTGGTATTATGAGCAAATTGACATGCAATGAGCCAAGTCACAAAGCCTGACCACCCAATCCATTATTGTCACCTCTTACGACAAGCATAGGTTGCAGGAGGCCTGGAGGCTCCTGGAACTAGTGAAGGGACAGAGGCAATACTAGCTAATCTATGCAAATAAGGAAAGAAGGAAGCCAGCAGGTCAAACAGATCACATATACTCATACCACCAGTACACAATACTCACCCCAATTTGTCAGTAATTTCAGCTATTCGGTTGTTTTTGTCATCATTGCCAGATTCTTTTGCTTTTCTGTTTTCAATTATACATTAGTCAATAACCTTTCCAGTATACACTACTGCATTGGGCTGCACTATACAAGCAAACAAAGCCAACACATAGCTAGTTGGGGACCCCCCCCCCCCCCCCCCCCCCCCCCACCCTCCTACCACCAGCAGTGTCCTGTACCAATCCCTCCCTTACACCACCAGCAGTGTCTTGTACTACCATCAGTGTCCTGTACCAATCCCTCCCTTACACCACCAGCAGTGTCCTGTACCAATCCCTCCCTTACACCACCAGCAGTGTCTTGTACCACCAGCAGTGTCCTGTACCAATCCCTCCCTTACACCCCCAGCAGTGTCCTGTACCAATCCCCCCTTATACCACCAGCAGTGTCCTGTACCAATCCCCCCTTATACCACCAGCAGTGTCTTGTACCACCAGCAGTGTCTTGTACCACCAGCAGTGTCCTGTACCAATCCCCCCTTATACCACCAGCAGTGTCTTGTACCACCAGCAGTGTCTTGTACCAGTCGGTCCCTTATACCACCAGCAGTGTCTTGTACCACCATCAATGTCTTGTACCACCAGCAGTGTCTCGTACCACCAGCAGTGTCTTGTACCACCAGCAGTGTCTTGTACCAATCCCTCCCTTATACCACCAGCAGTGTTTTGTACCACCAGCAGTGTCTTCTACCTGTCGGTCCCTTACACCACCAGCAGTGTCTTGTACCACCAGCAGTGTCTTGTACCAGTCGGTCCCTTATACCACCAGCAGTGTCTTGTACCACCAGCAGTGTCTTGTAACACCAGCAGTGTCTTGTACCACCAGCAATGTCTTGTACCAGTCGGTTCCTTATACCACCAGCAGTGTCTTGTACCACCAGCAGTGTCTTGTACCACCAGCAATGTCTTGTACCACCAGCAGTGTCTTGTACCAGTCGGTCCCTTATACCACCAGCAATGTCTTGTACCACCAGCAGTGTCTTGTAACACCAGCAGTGTCTTGTACCACCAGCAATGTCTTGTACCACCAGCAGTGTCTTGTACCAGTCGGTCCCTTATACCACCAGCAATGTCTTGTACCACCAGCAGTGTCTTGTAACACCAGCAATGTCTTATACCACCAGCAATGTCTTGTACCACCAGCAGTGTCTTGTACCACCAGCAATGTCTTGTACCACCAGCAGTGTCTTGTACCACCAGCAATGTCTTGTACCACCAGCAGTGTCTTGTACCAGTCGGTCCCTTATACCACAAGCAATTTCTTGTACAACCAGCAATGTTTTGTACCAGTCCGTCAATTATACCACCAGCAGTGTCTTGTACCAGTCCATCCCTTATACCACCAGCAGTGTCTTGTAACACCAGCAGTGTCTTGTACCACCAGCAATGTCTTGTACCACCAGCAGTGTCTTGTACCACCAGCAATGTCTTGTACCACCAGCAGTGTCTTGTACCAGTCCATCCCTTATACCACCAGCAGTGTCTTGTACCAGTCGGTCCCTTATACCACCAGCAATGTCTTGTACCACCAGCAGTGTCTTGTAACACCAGCAATGTCTTATACCACCAGCAATGTCTTGTACCACCAGCAGTGTCTTGTACCACCAGCAATGTCTTGTACCACCAGCAGTGTCTTGTACCACCAGCAATGTCTTGTACCACCAGCAGTGTCTTGTACCAGTCGGTCCCTTATACCACAAGCAATTTCTTGTACAACCAGCAATGTTTTGTACCAGTCCGTCAATTATACCACCAGCAGTGTCTTGTACCAGTCCATCCCTTATACCACCAGCAGTGTCTTGTACCAGTCCATCCCTTATACCACCAGCAGTGTCTTGTACCAGTCCGTCCCTTATACCACCAGCAATGTCTTGTACCAGTCCATCCCTTATACCACCAGCAGTGTCTTGTACCACCAGCAGTGTCTTGTACCACCAGCAGTGTCTTGAACCACCAGCAGTGTCTTGTACCACCAGCAGTGTCTTGTACCAGTCGGTCCCTTATACCACCAGCAGTGTCTTGTACCACCAGCAGTGTCTTGAACCACCAGCAATGTCTTGTACAACCAGCAGTGTCTTGTAACACCAGCAGGATGTGTGTGTAAAATGTGAACCATGCAGACAACCTGGATTTGTTTCCTCAAGTAATACATGACAGTGGTGTTCCAGCTTGAGAGAACAGTGAGTGTAGCCAGCCCAAACTTGTCAACTTCAGATTAATTTGATGGAGCCATACTTCCTATCAGCTGGTTAATACTCATTCCAAACCTATTAGTTTTTCATTACCCACACCAAGGTATTAGATCTTATTTACAAGCGCAATAACACGTTCAAGCCTTGAGCAGTCTACAGATTCCTTTACATTTACCACTTGATCAGTTTAGTGGATGTTAACATGCAGACAAGAATTACCCCAAATACCTGAGGCATGACCCACGGTATCTAACAAGACATTACTAACTGTAGTAATAATGACTGCAAATCATCTGAAATCTGCCTATTAAGCTAGAAACACATCCAACTATTAATGTCCAGATCAGATGTATGACAGCTAACAGACAGTATAATACTTACAGCTGTAGTTGGTACCAGGACTGTGCTCGAGTGTAGCCTGCTTTCAGGTTGGACTCTCTTCCTCCATCAAGCTCCTCTGTCAGTTTCCCTGTGAAGCGCCGAGCACTGGATGACCTTCCATACACTGGTTTGCCATGACCCGACTTTGTTTCTATGGCAGCATTCTTGCTAGGTGACAATTTAGTTGGTGGTGAATGAGACCGGCCACATCTCTGGAGGACAGGGCTACAGCTTCTCTCTCGTAAATGGTTTAAATGTTCTATCTTCACATTTTTTAGGATCCCTTTCTTAGAATTTGGGCTCACACTATTCCTTTGACGCATGTCATAAACTGAATTAAGTGACACATTGAGTCTGTCTGACGGCTCCTTCCGATCATGGTGAGGTCGTCGAGAGGTCTCCTGCATGCTCCGAGAGAGCCTGTCTGAGACTTCTGTCCCTGGCCGCTGGTACCTGGTGGATGATGACTCAACAACTGTCTCTATCATGTCTCTCCCTGTGTTATAATTCTGACTAGATTCATATCGATTCAAGTCGTCAGTGTAGTTGTCTCCGTGAAGATTATCTTGATGCTGCCTTTGAAGTAAACTTTCTCTAAAACTTCCATTATCACCAGAGCCATTCCTTGAAATCCTGTATGTGTCCTCTGCATCATAATCAGAATAATTGAGTTTGGTTGGATACTGTTGCAGATCTGAGTAGTCCACAAAGGGAATTGGGGACACCAAGGACTCTCTCTGCTTGTCTCGGTAATACTGGACTTTCCGGTGTGGGTAGATCTCCCGGAATGATGATGGCACACCTGGTGACTTCATCATATCCTCTGTGCTGTAGCCTGTGTCTTTACTATCAAGGGTGCTTGACATGTTCAGGGAAGAGTTGAGCTTCACAGGAGTGGATTCCAGTTCATTATTCCATGTACTTGTTCGTCGATGGGCTCGAGATGAAGAGTCCATGGTTTCACGACTTGGGGAAATGTAGTCATCAATTCTGGACCTTCTAGAGTGAGTATTACTCATGTTGGGCCTTGATGAATGACCCATACTTGAAGTCCGGGAGCGGCCTGCACTTGAAGGTCTGGATGAAGGTTGACTGCTTGTCACTCTTCTTATTTCCCTCTCCACCTCATCACAGGCTCCCTTCTCTGTGTAGTGACTCATGATGTCAGCTACCTTGGACTTCTGATTGCTGGCATGGAGAGCATTGATCTCTTCAAACAACTTTGACCTTTCTTGTCTCACTTCCTCAAGGCATGTTCGCAGCTCCTTGATTGTGCTCTGAGCCTTTTCCTGGTTGAACTGTATCTCCTCAAAGTCCTAAAAACATATATAATACATATATTCAAAATGGTTTGAATATTGAATAAGCTGAATTAATAATAAACAAACAAGTTTGTATTCAAATTTCTATGACAACATATGTTGATTACGGTTTCAAAAGAAAAATGTTTCTTGTGCAGCAGTGGGTGTGTCTCTTTAAAACCAGGACATTATAGTCCTTTTCATTTCAAACGTCTAAACATCTGTGTCAGTGTTTCTGAACATGATATCTTGATGTGGGCTATAGTATTAGTGTTTTAGTCACTGCCTCATTCTTTGCATTTAGGAATTAAAAAATACATAAAATATTCTGTAATCTATGTAATCTGCATATAATTAAGATCTGACTTTGCCAAATGGGAAATCATTTGTATTCACCTGTCTAAAAGAATCATTTTGGCTCTCTACTTGAGACAAATTCATCCTGAGACTTTGGTTGACCTGTTTCAGGTCCTCTAGAGGTCTTAGTTCACTGAGGGCATTGTTGAGTGCTGCAGTTGTCTCTTGTAGTTCTATCCTCATTTGATCAGACTCAGCATGAGCCTTTAACACATTCTCTTCCATGCTTTTCACTCTGGCCTCAAGCCCCTCATTCTTGTGACGCTCATGCTCATGGTTGCTACGAAGTTCCATATTCTCGGCTTGTGACTTTGCCAGATGTCTACGACAATCATCAAGGACATCATTTGTCTTAAAAAGCTTTTCTGACACATCAGCTTTGGCATTCCTTAACTTGGCCTGCAGGATGTCGTTTTCCACAATACAACTTGCAAGTGCCTGTTTCAACTCAATGACGTCTTCATCTGACAGCTCCCTCATGGCAATGAGATTCTTCCATCTGTCTTGTCTCTCAGGTTCCAAGCCCTTCACAATGCTCAACTTGTTCCCCCAGATCTCCTGAGTGACACTCCTCACAGGACTGCTGTAACCCAGACTGATGGACCTGGTCTGATCATCATGCTCAGTGTCAACATTGAGATGGTTTCCAGGTAGATGACTATCTCCTGGATCATGAAGGGCAAAGCTTCCTCTCTGTAAACCTCGTATCGGAGACAAGCTACCTGTTCTTGAAGGTCCTCGAGGTGGTGAAGAAGGTCTCGCACTATATCTAGTTTGGTAGCTATCATCCATGTACATGGAGTCGAGAGTGCTAGTGTATCTACTGGGTAGAGGACTCACTCTGTATGAACTGTCTGGAACTGCACTTGACCTCTCCATGTATCTGTCACTTGATCCATTGAATCTGTCAGGTGATATTTCATTTCTAAGCATATTTTCGATATCTCTCTGTCTTTCTAGTGTAGGACTTAATGATCTGCTTCTACTGTAGTCAGGACTGTTCTTTCTTGCTTCTCTCTCATACCTGCTACCTGCTGGAGGAATCCTCCTGGGTAAATCTGGTGACTTTCTTTGTCTTGTATAGATTGGACTCAATGATCTACTTCTAGATGACTCAAAAACCATATGACCATTCTGTTCATGTATATCACTGAACTGACTCAGAGGTTCAATCTTTGTCCCCGTTATCTGGAAAGTCGGCGTCCTCCTCTCACCACAAGGTGATCTGGCAACTGGACTAGCTCGTCCTGCCTCTCCAGAGCCCTCGATTGTTTCAATCTTGTATTTCAATTCCTCTATCTCCTTACACAGCACCTCAATAAATTTGGCTTGAGCTAAGGAATCTATCCTGCTTCCATCATCAGGCAGCTCACTGCGTCCCCTGGATCTCTCCCAAGCTTCCCTTCGAGGCAGGTGACCATAGCTGCCATCAGAGTCATACAAATGTTCTTCATCGTGCAGACCTGGCTCGTGTTGCAGGAGAGTGTGTGGCGAGGCAATGTTTGGTGAGCCTAGTCGGGGGCTGGAAGCAGCAGGTTTCTCTGGTGACCTCTGTAATGGAGACCTCTTTCTGTTGGTTTCTGTCCTATGTAAGTCTGGGTTTCTCCTAATGGAAGCAGAAACAGACAGTTCCTGTAAATGTCTGCCAGATGAAGAAGTGTCAGCATGTTTTGCTTTATCAGTAAGTCTTTGAGAAATGGCAGATTCAGGTCTCCCTTCTCTGTTGGGGTCATTGACATTCTTCACCTTGGTCTGGTCCTTCTTGTCTTGGACCCTTTTACTTCGGAAGTCTTCTTTTGGCATAGTGTTGTCAACTGCCAGACGTGCTTTCTTTATGTTATCAAGTAGTGAAAGAACATCAGGTGGGTCACCTGATTTATTTAATATATCCAACCTCTGAGGGTCTATACTGCACAGCAATGATTTCAGATTGGGAAACATGGGGTGAGACTGAAGATCACTAATTTTAGTTCCACTCATGCTTGCCAAGTTGACATCAGAGGTAGATGCACTTTTCTCAGTACTGGCAGTAAGTTTCGATTGATCATCAGGCATCTCACTATCTGGTATCACCCTACCCTGCCTGCTCTCCTTGTATTTTGTCATTGAATCTGGCTGACTGTGAGATTTGCCTCGAAACATATTCTCAGACCTTCTCCCCCTTTCTCGATCCAAAGAAGACTTGTATACAATACTATCATGTAAAATTTGTCTTGATTCGTGTGACCTTGATCTTGATCTGGAACTTGATCTTGACCTTCCACTAAGACTCTCTAGGTCAAGGTCACTTTGGGATCTGGAAGACTGAATGAGATCTGATGAGCTTGATGGTCCCTGGGACAGCCTATCAAGTGTCTCCTCCCACTGCAGGAAATAATCTCTGGGTCTTTTGATTTTAACATCTCCAGATATTTTCTCAGTTCTACTACCATCAGTCAACATCCCATTGTTTGTATGTGAGGAAGATCCCAGAGCTGCTTGAGATGTTTTAGCATTTCTATCTGAGCTTCCACCTGAGGAAAATCTGGAAGCCTCTGGCTGCAAGTCATCTAATCTGTGTGTCATTGAACCTGTGTCCCTGTCCTCTTCATTCTCTGACTGGGGCATGTGTTCATACACCCGCTGACTGATTGTCTCCTTCAACATACTCTCACCATCCGAGTTCAAGGAAATCGGGGCATCATCATTGGGAGACTGATTCAGCCCATTTCTCTCACTATGGACTGACACTAGGGACGACGCTGACATCCAGTTAGACAGTTCTTCTGCAGATCCATGTTTCCTGGAAGTGAAAGCAGATGGTCCTTTTCCAATACTGTTAGACTTATATGGGGAAACTGACATAGGTTTAAAGATGCCACTTGACTGCTTCTTCTTCATGTGGTCTGCCGTGCAGAGTTCACTGTCCGACATATATCTGTCCTCGTCCTGGTTGGCCTTGTATCGTGTGGGTGGGCTCCTCATGGCATCGGCCACCTCCAGGTTCATGCCCCCCGGAGGCTGTAACAACCCACAATACCATCAATATACACAAAGGAAAGAGAAGACAAGCAAACTAGTAATCTTCTACATGGATATATCATCAGCATGTATAGATATTCATTTATACATCCATACAAATGTGATTGTGACAATTAGTTGACTGAAGTCATGAAAGTGCGCCATGTACTTAAGTTGGTTGACATAATCGATCTGGCATTATTGAGCAAGTGCAGTAAAATTCTTTTGGAAAGAAATTACAAAGAATTTACTATGTGTATGATCGCTGAGGCTGTATCTGATATTTAATATTTTACCTTTGTAAATCTTGAAAAAGCATTTAATGTTCTGTTGTCTCCCCCAACCTGAAAACAAAATAGATACACATAACATACTTATGCAAGCATACATTTCATCTGTTTAATGGCCCGTACTTTTCTTGAGCCAGAGTAGGGAAATAGTGAGGGAAAATGCATCTTGTCAGTAATATAAATGTTGATAAATCACCATGGCTTCACAATATCTCTAACACTTTTATAAGTGACAATAGTTTCACTCATTTCAAGACATACTTTTCTGACTAAAAGATATGTTAGCAAATTCCTCACCAAGTAGAATATCAAGCACATCAGGCATAATAAATCATACCATTGGATGCTGACATCACTATTTAACACACAACCGTGACCTGGGCCTATTTGTGCTCCATGTTACATGATCAGAGTTGCCTCCCTTGGACCTAATAAGTTGGAAATACATGTATAGGCGATTGGTCCTGAGAGACTTATCATTTGGGGGGCAATGTTAAAAATTAATGAGAGTAAATCAAGTCATCAAAATGGTGTGGTCTGAAGAAGAAATATTGGTTTTTCAGATTAAAAATGATGTTTTATTGGTCTGTTTTCAGTCGTACAAATGGGTATCTCTAGTCGCACGTTAAAAGGAAGCCAGAAGCTGGAATGTAAACAATAAACTTGTTTCCGTCCGGTTGCGCACACACCTTCCTATGACATGTCACAAATCTCGAAGAATAAGCCATCAAGCAGGACTGGACTGGATTACTTCCCAGTGGGGATGGCTGGGTGGGAACGTACGACTGAAAACAGACCAATAAAAAATCGTAAATAAAATCTGAAAAACCCATGTTTTAGTCTGTTTTCAGTCGTACAAATGGGTAGAATTCGACGGAACACTGGAAGGAGGGTAGGGAAAGTAATCAGGAAGTGACCTCGTTCATGTCGAATGTACCGAGTTCCTCACCCCTGTAGTGACAATAGAACATTCAACCAGATGCACGGACGAGACAAACTGTTTATCACGAACGCACAGCATGGTTAATGCTCTTTGACACACAACTAATTATCGATGTGACAGGACAACTGCACGCGTCAGTTGAACTGCGATCGAAGTGTGGTCGACGTATAGTTTAGTTACAGAGCAACTCGCAGTATACAAGGTAACTAAAACAGCATGTTTAATGCTCTTCGATCCACAAGTAACTATCAATGAGACAGGACAACTGCACACGACTGTTGAATTGCGATCGAAGTGGTCGGCATATAATTTAGTTTCAGAACGACTTGTCGTATCCAAGGTAACTAAAAATAGCATGGTTAATACTCTTCGACACACAACTAATTATCGATGCGACAAGACAACTGCACACGTCAGTTGAATTGTGATCGAAGAGTGGTCGGCGCATAATCTAGTTACAGAGCAACTCGCAGCATACAAGGTAACTAAAAAATACGATCAGTACTATCAAGTATGGGAAGACGATGCATACACCGAATAACCATAATAAAACAGCCGAAGTACTGCATGCAACAAAAACCATAAGAATGCGTACATTCACCAACAGTTTTTATTGTAACCTGTTATCTGGCACGAAGTGTCGAGCAAAAAGTCCAAAGTGAATAAAGCACAAATTCACTGTCTTTTCTAGGAGATCGGTTGTGCCACTACGAGTGGACCAAACTGTGTGCTCATGTTGAAGCTATGGCTCGAACTTCGTGCAGATGAGAGGAGGTGGGAGGTGCGAGTCCTTGCGCCTCGTAAGCTCTGAGAATGACCGCTCTCAACCAAAAGGAGAGAGTATTACGTGTAATCTCTTTCTTTGCATTGGTTGAGAGCGGTATGAACAGCTGTCGAAAATGTTGTCGTCGCTGTTCAGATCGCTGCAGGGAAATACGAAGCGCACGAACTGGGCTTTTCTGAAAGGCTTGTAAGTCTAACTAGACAGGTAGCGCAGAACGACATCGAGGTCCCAGGCCGGCAGTCGGAATTAATGTGACTCATCTTCAACCATGAAGGCACGTAGAATTTTCTGCAATTCCGGTATTTTAGTGAGCCTGTCGCCCGTAGGAGACGGCTCGTCTAGGTAGAAGGCGACCCTGATCGCCTGCTGATGGAGCCATTCTACGACCGTCTTCATGATCAGTGTGATGAAGTCTTCCCCCTACCGGTAGCTCGTCTAAAGGTAGAAGACTCCGACGACGGTGACGGCGGGGGAAGGGACCTCACTACCTCCCCCGCTGGCTCGCTGTCGACAGCATAGCAAGCCGTTGTAGCTGGTGACGAACAGCAGTGTCCATGGATCCCCAATGCCTGTCTACTACAAGAATCTTGGAGGGCGCTGGTTTCTTGAAGAGTAGCCCCCAATCCAAGTCCCTACTCATGGGTGACGAAAACGGCATGCCATAGATCGGGTAACGCGATGGAACAGGTGGTTTGCTGAAACTCTGCCCCGGCAGAGCAGAGGCAAGTTCTGGTCCATATCGTGAGCCAAGGCTCTGAAGACATCGGGAGGAGAATACTGAAGAGACTGCGGCGTTTCTCCGACCTTAAAGCCAGCACACGTCAGTTTGATATCATCTTTTGATAACTCAGGCAAAAAAGTGAGATAGCCAAGCCATAGCCAGGCTGTCGTCACAATCCATGATTCGACGTCGATAGTGTAGACCTAGATGAAGGTACTGGTGTACTGGTCGATGGTCCATGGACCTCCCACGTAGTCGAATCCTTCTTGGTCGACGCCGTCAAGGCGAGTACCGCCGCCGTGATCTGGCCTATCAAAGCCGGGTCGATATGAAAGTGAGACGAGGGTGACGATCGGTCATTATCTCTACGATGCTGTCTTCACAATCCATCGTCGATGTCGATTGTGTAGGCGTAGATGAAGGTGTACAGGACGATGGTCCATGGACCTCCGACTTGGTCGACGGAGTCGAACCCTTCTCGGTCGACCCCGTCAAGGCGAGTACCGCCGCTGTGATCTCGCCTATCAAAGCCAGGTCGATATGAAAGTGAGACGAGGGTGACGATCGATCATTATATCTACGACGCTGATCTCCCAAAAACTCCCTTCAAGAGCGTCGCACTTCCCCTTGGGGACAAGGGCTACGATCTCTAACTGTAGAAGGACTACGATCCCCATCGTAGTTATCGTCCAAATCGAACTCCCGACGACCTCGAAGGCTACGAACGTCCTCGTGTCGTTTACTGTCTCTCGACGAGGCACTCGACCTGTCGTCCCGGGGCAGGAACAACTTGTAGAGTGGGATCCATGTTCACTGTCGACCTATCGTCGTTTGTAGGACGAGAGACGGACCGACTGGTGACCGTAGTCCCCTCATGGTCCTTGTCACGAGCCGGTCCCGTCGTAACGGGGGTGGCTGAGTGACGCTCTCGATCAACCGATTGACGAAGATCAGTCATGCGGGTAGTATAATCAGCAGGCGAACGGTCACGTGTCTTGTCAAAAACAGAAGTTGGCTGGGGCGGGTCGTTATCAACTGATTTCTTGGGTGTGGCCGACACGCCACCCCCAGGGCCAGATGTAGAGGCTGCAGAGTCCAGGGATCCACCCGATGACCTACTCTGCTTGTAGCGCTGGTCAGTTGCCCACTTCGCCAACGCATGAAGATACCAATTAAAGTTTATTAAAGTGATCACATTCTTTACAACGTTTATCCCACGAACACGTTGAAAAATCCGTCCTTAATTATGCAGGAAGGACAATAGTGAGGATCTACTTTAGACAGTATACTTTGACACGAGGCAGAAAAGCCCGACATGTTGCCACGTGTATAATTAAGTCAAACAGTGAAACACGTGTTGAACACAAACAATGGATTACCAAGGATCTACAGGTAAGACATATTATTATTACTGTATTAGAACAACAACTGTAGACACACGATAAGTACTAGTAGAATACAAACTAGCAGTCTATCGCGAAAGTCCATCTCGAGCGACCAGCTCAGAGGCGCGCTGAGAGATTTGTGACATGTCATAGGGAGGTGCGTGCGCAACCGGACGGAAACAAGTTTATTGTTTACATTCCAGCTTCTGGCTTCCTTTTAACGTGCGACTAGAGGTATGAGATACCCATTTGTACGACTGAAAACAGACTAAAACATTGTTTTACATTAGGCTGTGCTTTATGTGATACTTTAAATATTTGTGAATGCACATTTACTTGCTATGTAGTAAGTTTATAACATTTATGTCAGTGCTCCTTGAGAAAACATGTAGTTTGTGACATTGTCCCTGAATTAATGTTCGCTGTCTGAGAGACATTAATTTATTTCAGGCACTGCATGAGTACTCACCCTCCTCCTGAGCAGGGCAACATAGATCATCAACGTGTGCTCATCCACTGTGCCATCTATGATGTCTGCAGCACTACAACATCAGCAACACACAGTGTCACACAACATAACCAGCAACACACAGGAGAACATAGTCTCACACTGTATAACCAGCAACACACAGTAAAACACAGTCTCACACAACATAACCAGCAACAAACAGTAAAACACAGTGTCACACAACATAACCAGCAACACACAGTAAAACAGTCTCACAGTACATAACCAGCAACACAGTAAAACATAGTGTCACACTACATAACAAGCAACACACAGTAAAACACAGTGTCACACTGCATAACAAGCAACACACAGTAAAACACAGTGCTACACAACATAACCAGCAACACACAGTAAAACAGTCTCACACTAAATAACCAGCAATACACAGGAGAACATAGTCTCACACTAAATAACCAGCAATACACAGGAGAACATAGTCTCACACAACATAACCAGCAACACACAGTAAAACAGTGTCACACAACATAACCAGCAACACACAGGAGAACATAGTCTCACACTGTATAACCAGCAACACACAGTAAAACACAGTCTCACACAACATAACCAGCAACACACAGTAAAACACAGTGTCACACAACATAACCAGCAACACACAGTAAAACAGTCTCACACTAAATAACCAGCAATACACAGTAAAACATAGTGTCACACTACATAACCAGCAACACACAATAAAACACAGTGTCACACTACATAACAAGCAACACACAGTAAAACACAGTGCTACACAACATAACCAGCAAAACAAAGTAAAACATAGTCTCACACAACATAACCAACAACACAGTAAAACATAGTCTCACACTGCATAACCAGCAACACAGTAAAACATAGTCTCACACGACATAACCAGCAACACACAGTAAAACAGTCTCACACTACATAACCAGCAACACAGTAAAACATAGTCTCACACTGCATAACCAGCAACATACAGTAAAACGCAGTCTCAACAGTACACAACCAGCAACACAGTAAAACATAGTCTCACACGACATAACCAGCAACACACAGTAAAACAGTCTCACACTACATAACCAGCAACACAGTAAAACATAGTCTCACACTGCATAACCAGCAACAACGTAAAACATAGTCTCACACTACATAACCAGCAACACAGTAAAACATAGTCTCACACTACATAACCAGCAACACAGTAAAACATAGTCTCACACGACATAACCAGCAACACACAGTAAAACACAGCCTCACACTGCATAACCAGCAACACACAGTAAAACAATCTCACACTGCATAACCAGCAACAACGTAAAACATAGTCTCACACTACATAACCAGCAATACACAGTAAAACATGCTCTCACACTACATAACCAGCAACACAGTAAAACATAATCTCACACTACATAACCAGCAACACAGTAAAACATAGTTTCACACTACATAACCAGCAACACACAGTAAAACATAGTTTCACACTACATAACCAGCAACACAGTAAAACATAATCTCACACTACATAACCAGCAACACAGTAAAACATAGTTTCACACTACATAACCAGCAACACACAGTAAAACATAGTTTCACACTACATAATCAGCAACACAGTAAAACATAGTTTCACACTACATAACCAGCAACACAGTAAAACATAGTTTCACACTACATAACCAGCAACACAGTAAAACATAGTTTCACACTACATAACCAGCAACACAGTAAAACATAATCTCACACTACATAACCAGCAACACAGTAAAACATAGTTTCACACTACATAACCAGCAACACAGTAAAACATAGTTTCACACTACATAACCAGCAACACAGTAAAACATAGTTTCACACTACATAACCAGCAACAACGTAAAACATAGTTTCACACTACATAACCAGCAACACAGTAAAACATAGTTTCACACTACATAACCAGCAACACAGTAAAACATAGTTTCACACTACATAACCAGCAACAACGTAAAACATAGTTTCACACTACATAACCAGCAACACAGTAAAACATAGTTTCACACTACATAACCAGCAACACAGTAAAACATAGTTTCACACTACATAACCAGCAACACAGTAAAACATAGTTTCACACTACATAACCAGCAACACAGTAAAACATAGTTTCACACTACATAACCAGCAACACAAGGTCATCTTTAAATGTTCCTAGATGTAATAGATCATCGTTACTGTGTCTCTCCCAATGTCTTGCTGTTATATTTTGTTTTCATGTCACCAAATAGTCTTGGACTATTTAGTTGTCAAAGTAATCAATAAATGAATTATGACTTTTAAAAATATGGATATATGATTCAGATAATCCAAGTTTTAATGAAATGAAAATAACTGAAAAGCAAATGGGGCACAATGTTAACAAATGACAAACATCTACAATGTTAACAGACAAATGACTTCAGTCTACAATGTCTTATAGTGTGGGAAAATTAGTGCCGGCATCCTTCACTTGTATGGTAACAATAATTGGTATTTCCCAAGACAAAAGGCTTGTTGATGGCTTCATCGTCTAAACACTGCTGTATATCTAAAACACAAATGGTGCTGCTGAAATTTTCGAATTGACCAACACATATCCTGAGGAATTGCCTGTTCTCTTTTTTCCATATTTGGAGTATTCAATTCCAGCTCATTAGTGAGAATGTTGTTAATATTAGGCTGGAGGTGAATAACTCTACCTGATGATATCTCTACTGATAAAATACTTGTATTCCACAGAGTCAAGGAGGTTCGTCAAGGCAGTCACTCGGTCCTGAAATGTATAAAGTCGATCTCAATGAAGAAATAAATGTATTTTCTGAGAAGATGTTCAATACTTCTGAGAGTGTGACATGATGCATATAATAATGCATTCAGTAACTGATCTAGAGTCACTGATCATGTGTCGTCAAAAACGACTTATTTGGGACACAAGCATAAGTTTTCTTTAATAAAGTAGACATATAAAATTCATTGTGCAGGGTATTTTACCTGATTTTGATGTGTTTGAGAGCCAAATGTACTATTGATAGTGTGAATGAATGACACTGTGGGAGACATCAAATTTGTACATCCATTTCAGCATCCTCCATACTAACACACCATGGTTCATGTATTCCCTGTGGCCAATGACCTGCTCAATACTAACACACCATGGTACGTGTGTTCCCTGAGAGGGGAGCTGTGGCCAGTGACCTGCTCCATACTTACACACCGTGCTTCGTGTGTTCCCTGAGAGGGGAGCTGTGGCCAGTGACCTGCTCACTACTAGCACACCATAGCTCGTGTGTTCCCTGAGAGGCCAGCTGTGGCCAGTGACCTGCTCACTACTAACAAACCATGGTTCGTGCGTTCCCTGAGAGGCCAGCTGTGGCCAGTGACCTGCTCCATACTAACACACCGTGGTTCGTGTGTTCCCTGAGAGGCGAGCTGTGGCCAGTGACCTGCTCCATACTAACACACGATGGTACGTGTGTTCCCTGAGAGGCGAGCTGTGGCCAGTGATCTGCTCCATACTAACACACCGTGGTTCGTGTGTTCCCTGAGAGGCGAGCTGTGGCCAGTGACCTGCTCCATACTAACACACCATGGTACGTGTGTTCCCTGAGAGGCGAGCTGTGGCCAGTGACCTGCTCCATACTAACACACCATGGTACGTGTGTTCCCTGAGAGGGGAGCTGTGGCCAGCGACCTGCTCCATACTTACACACAATGGTTCGTGTGTTCCCTGAGAGGCGAGCTGTGGCCAGTGACCTGCTCCATACTAACATACCATGGTTCGTGTGTTCCCTGAGAGGCGAGCTGTGGCCAGTGACCTGCTCACTACTAACACACCATAGCTCGTGTGTTCCCTGAGAGGCGAGCTGTGGCCAGTGAACTGCTCCATACTAACACACAATGGTTTGTGTGTTCCCTGAGAGGCGAGCTGTGGCCAGTGACCTGCTCACTACTAACACACCATGGTTCGTGTGTTCCCTGAGAGGCAAGCTGTGGCCAGTGACCTGCTCACTACTAACACACCATAGCTCATGTGTTCCCTGAGAGGCCAGCTGTGGCCAGTGACCTGCTCCATACTAACACACATTGGTTTGTGTGTTCCATGTGGAACATATACACAAGCAATGCAGAACTTGCAAACAAGAAAGGAAATGTATTCAATACTGCAAGATGACATTACATCACATAGCTGGACACGGCCAAGTTTGGTTAAGATATCGCTCATGGTTTTTGAGTCCTGCTCCGGACACGAAACATGACGGACAGACGGAAAGACTGAAGGACTGACGGACAAAACCCATTCCTATATTTTGTATCAAGATTAGATATTTTTTCAGCTTCAGCTGCAAAACAAGATATTATTTTACAGAAAGCTATGAGCTTGAATTTTTTTAAAGAAAAACACCTTGCAGCTATGTTATTATGATGCATGATTTGGTACTTTTTTGTTAAAAGAAATGAATAGATAGATCAGGGCTGTTCATAATAGACCCAACAACATGCGATGTGAATGTGCTACAGGCTCTAGAAACACATTTAGCTGCGAGATGACAGTGGCCTGCAAACAGTCAATGCTGGTCAGTGTTTGATAGTATGATGTCGCCACCCAATGCTCCTTGAGTCAGCCCGCACCACATGCATGCGTGCCATATGCTTGTGGCCTATTCTGCCCTGCAGTTTCCCTATATCTTGGCATGCCTACCTCGTCATTCACTACGCCATCTCCACTGAACAGTTTCCCTATATCTTGGCATGCCTACCTCGTCATCCACTACGCCATCTCCACTGAACAGTTTCCCTATATCTTGGCATGCCTACCTCGTCATCCACTACGCCATCTCCACTGAACAGTTTCCCTATATCTTGGCATGCCTACCTCGTCATCCACTACGCCATCTCCACTGAACAGTTTCCCTATATCTTGGCATGCCTACCTCGTCATCCACTACGCCATCTCCACTGAACTTCTGCAACAGTTTGGAGAACCAGTTGCCTTGACACAAACTGAAACAGTAGATTGCCTGATGTTGGAAAGAAGCGAGGTCTCTCACCTTATGTATATGCAAGAGGCGTTGGCGGCAAGAAACTAATACTTGTACAACTGATTATGGATAGTTGACAGTAAAGAGGATTTTTTATAGTGTGATGACAGTGAAAATACAGGATTTATGGCAATGATGTAATAGAGGTTTGTATTTGCAGGAGTTAGAGTGAATCCTAAATGAATCCTACTTGAAGGCAAATGTGTTCCTTGAGTCAAACTGTGTTGCCAGCTCCAGCTCGCACCATTCCATCAGGTGCTTCTTGCCGATACCCACACTGCGCTGGTAAGCATTCTGATCTGTGACACAAGGGATAGAGTAGAAACATCACACACACAACAACGCTATACTACGCTACATGGTGGCCTCCACTGTATACGGTGGCCCCTACTGTACATGGTGGCCCCTACTGTATACGGTGGCCCCTACTGTATACGGCTGTCCCTACTGTATACAGTGGCCCCTACTGTATACGGTGTCCCCTACTGTATACAGTGGCCCCTACTGTATACGGTGTCCCTACTGTACATGGTGGCCCCTACTGTATACGGCTGTCCCTACTGTACACGGTGGCCCCTACTGTACATGGTCGCCACTACTGTATACAGTTGTCCCTACTGTACATGGTCGCCCCTACTGTATACAGTTGTCCCTACTGTACATGGCGGCCCCCACTGTATATGGTGGCCCCTACTGTACACGGTGGCCCCTACTGTACATGGTGGCCACCACTGTATATGGTTGCCCTACTGTATACGGTGGCCCCTAATGTACACGGTGGCCCCTACTGTACATGGTGGCCCCTACTGTACACGGTGGCCCCTACTGTACACGGTGGCCCCTACTGTACATGGTGGCCCCTACTGTACACGGTGGCCCCTACTGTACACGGTGGCCCCTACTGTACATGGTGGCCCCTACTGTACACGGTGGCCCCTACTGTACACGGTGGCCCCTACTGTATACAGTGGCCCCCACTGTATATGGTTGCCCTACTGTATACGGTGGCCCCTAATGTACACGGTGGCCCCTACTGTACATGGTGGCCCCTACTGTACACGGTGGCCCCTACTGTACACGGTGGCCCCTACTGTACACGGTGGCCCCTACTGTACACGGTGGCCCCTACTGTACATGGTGGCCCCTACTGTACACGGTGGCCCCTACTGTACACGGTGGCCCCTACTGTACATGGTGGCCCCTACTGTACACGGTGGCCCCTACTGTATACAGTGGCCCCTACTGTACATGGTGGCCCCTACTGTACACGGTGGCCCCTACTGTACACGGTTGCCCCTACCGTACACGGTGGCCCCTACTGTATACAGTGGCCCCCACTGTATATGGTGGCCCCTACTGTATACGGTGGCCCCTACTGTATACGGCTGTCCCTACTGTATACAGTGGCCCCTACTGTATACAGTGGCCCCTACTGTACATGGTGGCCCCTACTGTACATGGTGGCCCCTACTGTATACGGCTGTCCCTACTGTACACGGTGGCCCCTACTGTATACGGTGGCCCCTACTGTACATGGTCGCCACTACTGTATACAGTTATCTCTACTGTACATGGTCGCCCCTACTGTATACAGTTGTCCCTACTGTACATGGCGGCCCCCACTGTATATGGTGGCCCCTACTGTACACGGTGGCCCCTACTGTACATGGTGGCCACCACTGTATATGGTTGCCCTACTGTATATGGTGGCCCCTACTGTATACGGTGGCCCCTACTGTACACGGTGGCCCCTACTGTACACAGTGGCCCCTACTGTACATGGTGGCCCCTACTGTACATGGCGGCCCCCACTGTATATGGTGGCCCCTACTGTACATGGTGGCCCCTACTGTACATGGTGGCCCCTACTGTACATGGTGGCCACCACTGTATATGGTTGCCCTACTGTATATGGTGGCCCCTACTGTACACGGTGGCCCCTACTGTACACGGTGGCCCCTACTGTACATGGTGGCCCCTACTGTACATGGCGGCCCCCACTGTATATGGTGGCCCCTACTGTACATGGTGGCCACCACTGTATATGGTTGCCCCTACTGTATACGGTGGCCCCTACTGTACACGGTGGCCCCTACTGTACATGGTGGCCCCTACTGTACATGGTGGCCCCTACTGTATGACATGGTGGCCCCTACTGTACATGGTGGCCTCCACTGTATATGGTGGCCCCTACTGTACATGGTGGCGCCTACTGTACATGGTGGCCCCCACTGTATATGGTGGCCCCCACTGTACATGGTGGCCACCACTGTATATGGTGGCCCCTACTGTACACGGTGGCCCCTACTGTACATGGTGGCCACCACTGTATATGGTGGCCCCTACTGTACACGGTGGCCCCTACTGTACACGGTGGCCCCTACTGTACACGGTGGCCCCTACTGTATATGGTGGCCCCTACTGTATATGGTGGCCCCTACTGTACATGGTGGCCCCCACTGTATATGGTGGCCCCTACTGTACACGGTGGCCCCTACTGTACATGGTGGCCACCACTGTATACGGTGGCCCCTACTGTACACGGTGGCCCCTACTGTACACGGTGGCCCCTACTGTACATGGTGGCCCCTACTGTACATGGTGGCCCCTACTGTATGACATGGTGGCCCCTACTGTACATGGTGGCCTCCACTGTATATGGTGGCCCCTACTGTACATGGTGGCGCCTACTGTACATGGTGGCCCCCACTGTATATGGTGGCCCCTACTGTACATGGTGGCGCCTACTGTACATGGTGGCCCCCACTGTATATGGTGGCCCCTGCTGTATGACATGGTGGCCCCTACTGTACATGGTGGCCTCCACTGTACATGGTGGCCCCTACTGTACATGGTGGCCCCTACTGTACATGGTGGCCCCTACTGTATGACATGGTGGCCCCTACTGTACATGGTGGCCCCTACTGTACATGATGGCCCCTACTGTATATGGTGGCCCCCACTGTATATGGTGGCCCCTACTGTATGGCATGGTGGCCCCCACTGTATGGCATGGTGGCCCCCACTGTATATGGTGGCCCCTACTGTATGGCATGGTGGCCCCTACTGTACATGGTGGCCTCCACTTTATATGTTGGCCCCTACTGTACATGTTGGCGCCTACTGTACATGGTGGCCTTCACTGTATATGGTGGCCCCTACTGTGTGGCATGGTGGCCCCCACTGTATATGGTGGCCCCTACTGTATGACATGGTGGCCCCTACTGTACATGGTGGCCTCCACTTTATATGGTGGCCCCTACTGTATGGCATGGTGGCCCCTACTGTACATGGTGGCCTCCACTGTATATGGTGGCCCCTACTGTGTGGCATGGTGGCCCCCACTGTATATGGTGGCCCCTACTGTATGGCATGGTGGCCCCTACTGTACATGGTGGCCTCCACTTTATATGGTGGCCCCTACTGTACATGTTGGCGCCTACTGTACATGGTGGCCTTCACTGTATATGATGGCCCCTACTGTGTTGCATGGTGGCCCCCACTGTATATGGTGGCCCCCACTGTACATGGTGGCCTCCACTTTATATGGTGGCCCCTACTGTACATGGTGGCCGCTACTGTACATGGTGGCCTCCTCTGTATATGGTGGCCCCTACTGTATGACATGGTGGCCCCCACTGTACATGGTGGCCTCCACTGTATATGGTGGCCCCTACTGTACATGTTGGTGCCTACTGTACATGGTGGCCCCCACTGTACATGGTGGCCCCTACTGTACATGGTGGCCTCCACTGTATATGGTGGCCCCTACTGTATGACATTGTGGCCCCAACTGTTTGACATGATGGCCCCAACTGTTTGACATGATAGCCCTACTGGATGACAGGGTGGCCCCTACTGTATGACAGGGTGGCCCCTACTGTATGACATGGTGGCCCCCACTGTACATGGTGGCCTCCACTGTATATGGTGGCCCCTACTGTACATGTTGGTGCCTACTGTACATGGTGGCCCCCACTGTATATGGTGGCCCCTACTGTACATGGTGGCCTCCACTGTATATGGTGGCCCCTACTGTATGACATTGTGGCCCCAACTGTTTGACATGATGGCCCCAACTGTTTGACATGATAGCCCTACTGGATGACAGGGTGGCCCCTACTGTATGACAGGGTGGCCCCTACTGTATGACATGGTGGTCCCTACTGTATGACATGGTGGCCCCTACTGTATGACATGGTGGCCCCTACTGCATGACATTGTTGCCCTACTGTATGACATTGTGGCCCCAACTGTTTGACATGATAGCCCTACTGGATGACAGGGTGGCCCCTACTGTATGACATGGTGGCCCCTACTGTATGACATGGTGGCCCCTACTGTATGGCATGATGGCCCTACTGTATGACATTGTGAGGGGGGCGGGGGGTATAACAGGTAGTATAACAGTATGAGGTGTGACTGTAGGGGGTGGTATGGCAGTGTGTAGGGGTGGTATGACTGTAGGGAGTGGGACGGCAGTGTATGGGGGTGGTATGACTGTAGGGGGTGGTATGGCAGTGTGGGGGATGGTATGACTGTAGGGAGTGGTATGGCAGTGTGCGGGGTGGTATGACTCTGTGGGGGGTGGTATGACTGTGTAGAGAGAGGTATGGCAGTGTGTGGGGGTGGTATGACTGTAGGTGGTCGTATGACTGTGTAGGGGTTGGTATGACTGTGTAGAGGGTGGTATGGCAGTGTGTGGGGGTGGTATGACTGTAGGGGGTGGTATGGCAGTGTATGGGGTGGTATGACTGTAGGGGATGGTATGGGAGTGTGGGGGGTGGTATGACTGTAGGGAGTGGTATGATAGCGTGAGGGGGTTGGTATGGCAGTGTGCATGGTGGTATGACTGTGGGGAGTGGTATGATAGCGTGAGGGGGGTGGTATGACAGTCTGTGTGGTGGTATGACTGTGGGGAGTGGTATGATAGCGTGAGGGGGTTGGTATGAGAGTGTGTGTGGTATGGTATGACTGTGGGGAGTGGTATGGTAGCGTGAGGGGGTTGGTATGACAGTTTGTGTGGTGGTATGACTGTGTGGGGAGTGGTATGATAGCGTGAGGGGGTTGGTATGACAGTGTGTGTGGTGGTATGACAGTGTGTGGGGGTTGGTATGACTGTGTGTGTGATGGTGTGACAGTGTGGGGGACTGGTATGACTGTGTATGGGGTGGTATGACAGTGTGGGGGGAGTGGTATGATAGCCTGAGGGGGTTGGTATGACAGTGTGTGTGGTGGTATGACTGTGTGGGGAGTGGTATGGTAGCCTGAGGGGGTTGGTATGACTGTGTGTGGTGGTATGACTGTGTAGGGGGTGGTATGACTGTGTGTGGTGCTATGAGTGTGTGGGGGTTGGTATGACTGTGTGTGTGATGGTGTGACTGTGGGGGGAGTGGTATGACTGTGTAGCGGATGGTATGACAGTGTGGGGGAGTGGTATGATAGCGTGAGGGGGTTGGAATGACAGTGTGTGTGTGGTGGTATGACTGTGTGTGGTGGTATGACTGTGTAGGGGGTGGTATGACAGTGTGGGGGGAGTGGTATGATAGCGTGAGGGGGTTGGTATGACAGTGTGTGTGTGGTGGTATGACAGTGTAGGGGGTGGTACGGCAGTGTGGAGGGGTGGTATGACTGTGTAGGGGGTGGTATGATAGCACGAGGGGGTTGGTATGAAAGTGTGTGTGTGGTGGTATGACTGTGGGGAGTGGTAAGATAGTGTGAGGGAGTGGTATGACAGTGTGTGTGGTATGGTATGACTGGGGAGTGGTATGATAGCGTGAGGGGGTTGGTTTGACAGTGTGTGTGGTGGTATGACTGTGTGGGGAGTGGTATGACAGTGTGTTGGATGGTAAGACTGTGTGGGGCGTGGTTTGACAGTGTTGGGGGAGTGGTATGATAGTGTGAGGGGGTTGGTATGACTGTGTGTGGTGGTATGACTGTATGTGGTGGTATGAGTGTGTGGGGGTTGGTATGACTGTGTGTGGGATGGTTTGACTGTGGGGGGAGTGGTATGACAGTGTAGGGGGAGTGGTATGATAGCGTGAGGGGGTTGGTATGACAGTGTGTGTGTGGTGGTATGACTGTGTAGGGGGTGGTACGGCAGTGTGGAGGGGTGGTATGACTGTGTAGGGGGTGGTATGATAGCATGAGGGGGTTGGTATGAAAGTGTGTGTGTGGTGGTATGACTGTTTGGAGTGGTATGATAGCGTGAGGGGGTTGGTATGACTGTGTGTGGTGGTATGACAGTGTGTGGTGGTATGAGTGTGTGGGGGTTGGTATGACTGTGTGTGGGATGGTGTGACTGTGGGGGGAGTGGTATGACTGTGTAGGGGGAGTGGTATGATAGCGTCAGGGGGTTGGTATGACAGTGTGTGTGTGGTGGTATGACTGTGTGGGGAGTGGTTTGACAGTGTTGGGGGAGTGGTATGATAGCGTGAGGGGGTTGGTATGACTGTGTGTGGTGGTATGACAGTGTGTGGTGGTATGAGTGTGTGGGGCTTGGTATGACTGTGTGTGGGATGGTGTGACTGTGGGGGGAGTGGTATGACTGTGTAGGGGGAGTAGTATGATAGCGTGAGGGGGTTGGTATGACAGTGTGTGTGTGGTGGTATGTCTGTGTAGGGAGTGGTATGACTGTGTAGGGGGAGTGGTATGATAGCGTGAGGGGGTTGGTATGACAGTGTGTGTGTGGTGGTATGACTGTGTGGTGGTATGACAGTGTGTGGTGGTATGACTGTGTAGGGGGTGGTATGACAGTGTGGGGGGAGTGGTATGATAGCGTGAGGGGGTTGGTATGACTGTGTGTTTGGTGGTATGACTGTGTGTGGTGGTATGACTGTGTGTGGTGGTATGACTGTGTGTGGTGGTATGACTCTGTAGGGGGTGGTATGACAGTGTTAGGGGAGTGGTATGACTGTGTGTGGGGGTTGGTATGACTGTGTGTGGGATGGTGTGACTGTGGGGGGAGTGGTATGACTGTGTAGGGGGAGTGGTATGATAGCGTGAGGGGGTTGGTATGAAAGTGTGTGTGTGGTGGTATGACTGTGTAAGGGTGGTATGACTGTGTAGGGGGTGGTATGACTGTAGGGGGAGTGGTATGATAGCGTGAGGGGGTTGGTATGACAGTGTGTGTGTGGTGGTATGACTGTGTGTGGTGGTATGAATGTGTAGGGGGTGGTATGACAGTGTGGGGGGAGCGGTATGATAGCGTGAGGGGGTTGGTATGACAGTGTGTGTGTGGTGGTATGACTGTGTAGGGGGTGGTACGGCAGTGTGGAGGGGTGGTATGACAGTGTGGGGGGGTGGTATGATAGCATGAGGGGGTTGGTATGACAGTGTGTGTGTGGTGGTATAACTGTGGGGAGTGGTATGATAGCGTGAGGGGGTTGGTATGACATTGTGTGTGTGGTGGTATGACTGTGTATGGGAGTGGTATGATAGCATGAGGGGGTTGGTATGACAGTGTGTGTGGTGGTATGACTGTGTATGGGAGTGGTATGATAGCGTGAGAGGGTTGGTATGACAGTGTGTGTGGTGGTATGACTGTAGGGGAGTGGTATGATAGCGTGAGGGGGTTGGTATGACAGTGTGTGTGGTGGTATGACTGTGTATGGGAGTGGTATGATTGTGTGAGGGGGTTGGTTTGACAGTGTGTGTGTGGTGGTATGACTGTGTGGGGAGTGGTATGATAGCGTGAGAGGGTTGGTATGACAGTGTGTATGGTGGTATGACTGTGTATGGGAGTGGTAAGATAGTGTGAGGGGGTTGGTATGACAGTGTGTGTGGTGGTATGACTGTGTGGGGAGTGGTATGATAGCGTGAGGGGGTTGGTATGAGAGTGTGTGTGTGGTGGTATGACTGTGTGGGGAGTGGTATGACAGTGTGTGTGTGGTGGTATGACTGTGTGGGGAGTGGTATGATAGCGTGAGGGGGTTGGTATGACAGTGTGTGTTTGGTGGTATGACTGTGTGTGGTGGTATGACTGTGTGTGGTGGTATGACTGTGTGTGGTGGTATGACTCTGTAGGGGGTGGTATGACAGTGTTGGGGGAGTGGTATGACTGTGTGTGGGATGGTGTGACTGTGGGGGGAGTGGTATGACTGTGTAGGGGGAGTGGTATGATAGCGTGAGGGGGTTGGTATGACAGTGTGTGTGGTGGTATGACTGTGTGAGGAGTGGTATGATAGCGTGAGGGGGTTGGTATGACAGTGTGTGTGGTGGTATGACTGTGTATGGGAGTGGTAAGATAGTGTGAGGGGGTTGGTATGACAGTGTGTGTGGTGGTATGACTGTGTGGGGAGTGGTATGATAGCGTGAGGGGGTTGGTATGAGAGTGTGTGTGTGGTGGTATGACTGTGTGGGGAGTGGTATGACAGTGTGTGTGGTATGGTATGACTGTGGGGAGTGGTATGATAGCGTGAGGGGGTTGGTATGACAGTGTGTGTGGTAAGGTATGACTGTGGGGGTAGTGGTATGATAGCGTGAGGGGGTTGGTATGACAGTGTGTGTGTGATGGTATGACAGTGTGGGGGGAGTGGTATGATAGCGTGAGGGGGTTGGTATGACAGTGTGTGTGTGTGATGGTATGACAGTGTGGGGGGAGTGGTATGACAGTGTGTGTGGTATGGTATGACTGTGGGGAGTGGTATGATAGCGTGAGGGGGTTGGTATGACAGTGTGTGTGGTAAGGTATGACTGTGGGGGGAGTGGTATGATAGCGTGAGGGGGTTGGTATGACAGTGTGTGTGTGATGGTATGACAGTGTGGGGGGAGTGGTATGATAGCGTGAGGGGGTTGGTATGACTGTGTGTGTGATGGTATGACAGTGTGGGGGGAGTGGTATGATAGCGTGAGGGGGTTGGTATGACAGTGTGGGGGATGGTATGACTGTGTGGGGAGTGGTATGACAGTGTGTCCTATGAACCCCTACCTATGTTGTGCAGGCTGTAATTTAGGATGATGAGCCACAGCACGTCCAGGAGAGACTTGATGTCGCCATCTAGGATGTCTGTAACACAAACGTGTGATGACACATCATCAACATATAGATATCACAATGAGGCAATGGTGGCTTCCTACAACACTCAGGGTATCTGGCACCTTCATGAACGTACTCACCCTGCACAGTGAATGTATATTTGATTCCATGGCTTCGCATGTGATCCAGAGCTGCTTGTATCCATTGCTGTTGAGTTGATTCCCCTGACGAGTTCTGAAAGTGGTAATATATTTTCCCTGTTTAAATAGTGGATTGTGGGAACATGTTTTATGTGGCTGTCACTTTTGGTCAGAGGACAGCAGGTTTCTTTCACACTTAAGTCTCCACTACAGGATGCAATTGCTGTTAATGTTTCCTCATGCACAATTCAAGCCGAACCGAGACAATAAACCTGTTGGAGTACTTGATAAAACATACCAAAATAACATCCCCACAAACAATTAAAACCTTAATATGTTTGTATGTAAGCAAGTACAAAAGGTCAGGTGAAATTGGGTTTAATGTCGCATCCAAGATTATTGCACTTATATAGCGACGTGCATGCACATGTGTGTGTGTGGCTGCTTGTACTACACCGGACTGATGCCGATTTATAGTGCTAGCACACTGAGATACCATGCCGCAGTTTAACATGAATACCCCACTCAGACACAGTATACTGAGTCCGAGCCAACCAGTCCTTGTTTTAGCCCCTTAATGCCGAGCGCCAGACAACAAGTACCATCTTTTAACGTCTTTTGGTATGACGCAGGTGGGCATCTAACCCCAGACCTTCTGCTCTCCGGGCAGATGCTCTACCACTAAACCAAGGAGACGGTCAGCAAGTACAAGAAACACTACACTGTTAGTCAGTGTCAAACACATCCACCTCCTGCAACTACAACAAGACCACCACTCAGTACAGGAACTCCATGAACTTCCCAAATACAGGCAGGAGCAATTCATGGGGTTTAGGAACATAAGACAAGTTTAATTATGCGGAACTAATTTCAAAACAACCTGTAGCAAATAGCCTGCTCGTATTTCCCCTTGAAATGTAGCACTTCAATAGCAACTGCATGAGCTGCTAATTTTGATTTGTGCTGTTGTTGCTGCAGTTTGTTCGTTCTGATAACAATCACAATTGTCACCATTCTTTAAGTATGAATTTCACATGCACTTTAACATTAGTGAAATATGATTTGTTTGTTGTTTAATGCCGCACTCAGCAATATTACAGGTGGTAAGATACTAAATCCGTATGTCACACGTGTGTCATACAAGGTTGACCTAATTTTATTCGTTTTGATTGGATAACCGTGACCTCTGTCACATCGGGACTACTTTTTTCATTCATAAAAAATCGCAAGACGTCATTCATTTTGCAACTACAAGGCAGAACTGAAGCAATCTCATGAGAGCGAGAGATATTTACAAACACTTTATTAAACTAAACCAGATAGTCACACGCATCACATTTGGTTTGCACTCTATATGCATAGAGCTTATACAGACATAATATAATCGAGCTATATCCATATACAATGTACGACTACCAATCAATAGATCAAGAGTCCCCATGAGCGTGACGCACCTGACCACTTTCTTAACTTTCAATTTGATTTAACATAAATGGATAAGCGTGGTGAAATGAAGTCAGTTTAAACCATCTGGACAGATATCTTGACTTACTTGGGATGAGCCGCTTGTGCCATCAGTGTCCAGAAGCGTATTTTGTGGCACTGTTTCTGGAGTCGTTTGTTCACGACTGCACAACCAGATCACTCAAAGTGAACATTTCTGATACAAATCATTTGAAAACTCGGCAGAAGTGTGACTGATTTCTGATTATGTGGTCCAAAATAGCTCAAATGTGAACAATAACATTCCCTATCTCTAGCATAAAACGCTGGGAGTAGATCACGGTTGTCTTTTCTTATTCCGGTGGTGACCTTGCCCTTCATTCGAAGCTGTCACTGATATAGCAGACTTGAGTTTGTTGATTTTCATGTCTTCAGTATAGGGTGGTACAGTTAACATGGATGTCTATGGCGAACACTCTAATTTCCCTCTTCCAAAATTGTACAGACATGATATTAATTCAGCTGATAAATCAAGGAAACCATACCATTTTGATTGCACAGCCGGGACACCGGCAGTGCGAGTGACCGACTGTGGGTCTGATATTAAAAGCGCGGCGCTAATGTGACTTTTCAAATTTTCTTATAGGTGTCCTGCGTACTAACAACATGGTGTCTGAATTACCATAAGTTGAAGAATTTCTTCCAAAAGGATTTTTAGCGTCGTTGCTGTTGTTTGCAAACACAACTGCAGGCGCATGTTATTAATGCGATTGGTGTACAGATTGGTGCACAGACTGATCTACAGATTGGTGTACAGACTGATGTACAGATTGGTGCACACATTGGTGTACAGACTGATGTACAGATTGGTGTACAGATTTGTGTACAGACAGGTGTACAGACTGATGTACAGATTGGTGTACAGATTGGTGTACAGACTGATGTACAGACTGATCTACAGATTGGTGTCCAGACAGGTGTACAGACTGATCTACAGATTGATGTACAGACTGGTGTACAGACTGGTGTACAGAGTGATGTAGAGATTGGTGTACAGACAGGTGTGCAGACTGATGTACAGACTGATCTACAGATTGATGTACAGACTGGTGTACAGACTGATGTACAGACTGGTGTACAGATTGATGTAGAGATTGGTGTACAGACAGGTGTACAGACTGATGTACAGACTGATCTACAGATTGATGTACAGACTGATGTACAGACTGATGTACAGATTGGTGTACAGATTGATGTACAGACTGATGTACAGACTGGTGTACAGATTGATGTAGAGATTCATGTACAGACTGATGTACAGACTGGTGAACAGATTGATGTACAGACTAGTGAACAGACTGGTGTACAGACTGATGTACAGACTGATCTACAGATTGGTGTACAGATTGATGTACAGACTGATGCAAATATTGATGTACAGATTGATGTTCAGACAGGTGTACAGACTGATGTACAGACTGATCTACAGACTGGTGTACAGACTGATATAGAGATTGGTGTACAGACTGATGTATAGACTGGTGAACAGACTGATTTACAGACTGATGTACATATTAATGCACAGACTGATATACAGACTGGTGTACAGACTGATGCACAGAATGATGTACAGACTGGTGTACAGACTGATGTACATATTGATGCACAGAGTGATGTACAGATTGATGTACAGACTGGTGTACAGATTGATGTACAGACAGGTGTACAGACTGATGTGCAGATTGATGTACAGAGAGGTGTACAGATTGATGTACAGACTGATGTACAGACTGGTGTACAGACTGATGTACAGACTTGTGTAGACTGGTGTATAGATTGATGTACAGACTGTTGTACAGATTGATGCACAGACTGATGTACAGACTGATGTACATATTGATGCACAGAGTGATGTACAGATTGATGTACAGACTGGTGTACAGATTGATGTACAGACAGGTGTACAGACTGATGTGCAGATTGATGTACAGACAGGTGTACAGATTGATGTACAGACTTGTGTACAGACTGGTGTAGAGATTGTATACAGACTGATGTACGGATTGGTGTACAGACTGATGTACAGACAGGTGTACAGATTGATGTACAGACAGGTGTACAGATTGGTGTACAGACTGATGCACAGATTGATGTACAGACAGGTGTACAGATTGGTGCACAGACTGATGTACAGACAGGTGTACAGATTGATGTACAGATCGGTGTACAGACTGATGTAGGGATTGGTGTACAGACTGATGCACAGACTGGTAGACAGACTGGTGTACAGATTGATGCACAGACAGGTGTACAGATTGGTGTCCAGATTGATGTACGGATTGGTGTACAGACTGATTTACAGACTGATCTACAGATTGGTGTACATACTGATGTACAGACTGATGTACAGATTGGTGTACAGACTGATGTACAGATTGATGTACACACTGATGTACAGACTGATGCAAAGACTGATGTACAGACTGATGTACAGACTGATGCATAGACTGATGTACAGATTGATGTACACATTGATGTACAGACTGATGCAAAGACTGATGTACAGACTGATATACAGACTGATGTACAGACTGGTGTACATATTGGTGTACAGACTGGTGTACAGATCGATGTACAGACTGGTGTCCAGACTGATGTACAGACTGATGTACAGATTGATGTACACATTGATGTACAGACTGATGCAAAGACTAATGTACAGATTGATGTACACACTGATGTACAGACTGATGCAAAGACTGATGTACAGATTGATGTACACATTGATGTACAGACTGATGCATAGACTGATGTACAGATTGATGTACACATTGATGTACAGACTGATGCATAGACTGATGTACAGATTGACGTACACATTGATGTTCAGACTGATGCAAAGACTGATGTACAGATTGATGTACACATTGATGTACAGACTGATGCAAAGACTGATGTACAGACTGATGTACAGACTGATGTACAGATTGATGTACAGACTGATGTACAGACAGGTGTACAGGTTGATGTACAGACTGATGTACAGATTGATGTACAGACTGATGTACAGACTGGTGTACAGACTGATGTACAGACTGATGCATAGACTGATGTACAGATTGATGTACACATTGATGTACAGACTGATGCAAAGACTGATGTACAGACAGGTGTACAGATTGATGTACAGACTGGTGTACAGATCGGTGTACAGACTAACATCACAAGTACCTATAAACATGATAAAGGTCTTGGTTTATGAACCAGACCCTACTTGTCTTCAGTTAATTCAACCCCACACACACTGAACATTGTTGACATGCTGTATATCATTTACAACCACCTGCCATGCCTGTGTTGGTGTCGAGGCTGGTAAGACTGCCTGACTGCCTCTGCATAATGCTGGCTTCACATACCACTACCAATCCACACTCACTTCAACAACCCACACAATAGCAGTGTAGATAAAGCCATATTGCACTCAAGGTAGAAATACCAACAGTCAGTGCCTCACACTCGACTTCAAGAATTGCTCCATTCATTGATCAACCAAGGACATTTTGATTGCTTCAATATCGCTGAAATGAAGTCCACTCCAGTCCAGAAATGATTAGTTGTAATCCTAGAATCCAGTTCCATTGTCAGACTGTGCACACACCAATAAACATACATGGGCACATCAATAAATCATTGGACTGTTCCCTGAGATAAGGTAACTTGAAGAGAGACATTTCCTTTTAGATTTATCATAAGTTTGTGGTGGGATTTCTCAAGACAGGTCAAAACAAGATTCAGTGTTGTTTAAGGCTTTAAGTCCATAAACAATTATGGCATACAGGTCAAACCTTCTTCAATATCCCAGTCAAACTGACCACATGATGAAGCAGGGGTGAGTTGAATTACAGACTAAGGCAGGTTAACTAACATCAGTAGCAGCAGCAACAATCCATACCTCCAGGACATCACATCATTCACTTCACAGTCTCCCCATAGGGTCACCCACTTCACCCCCTCCCCATAGGGTCACCCACTTCACAGTCTCCCCATAGGGTCACCCACTTCACCCCCTCCCCATAGGGTCACCCACTTCACACTCTCCCCATAGGGTCACCCACTTCACACTCTCCCCATAGGGTCACCCACTTCACAGTCTCCACATAGGGTCACCCACTTCACCCCCTCCCCATAGGGTCACCAACTTCACACTCTCCACATAGGGTCACCCACTTCACACTCTCCCCATAGGGTCACCCACTTCACACTCTCCCCATAGGGTCACCCACTTCACACTCTCCCCATAGGGTCACCCACTTCACAGTCTCCCCATAGGGTCACCCACTTCACCCCCTCCCCCTAGGGTCACCCACTTCACACTCTCCACATAGGGTCACCCACTTCACAGTCTCCACATAGGGTCACCCACTTCACACTCTCCCCATAGGGTCACCCACTTCACAGTCTCCCCATAGGGTCAACCACTTCACAGTCTCCCCATAGGGTCACCCACTTCACACTCTCCCCATAGGGTCACCCACTTCACACTCTCCCCATAGGGTCACACACTTCACAGTCTCCCCATAGGGTCACCCACTTCACCCCCTCCCCATAGGGTCACCCACTTCACAGTCTCCCCATAGGGTCACCCACTTCACACTCTCCCCATAGGGTCACCCACTTCACACTCTCCCCATAGGGTCACCCACTTCACACTCTCCCCATAGGGTCACCCACTTCACACTCTCCACATAGGGTCACCCACTTCACAGTCTCCCCATAGGGTCACCCACTTCACACTCTCCCCATAGGGTCACCCACTTCACCCCCTCCCAATAGGGTCACCCACTTCACAGTCTCCCCATAGGGTCACCCACTTCACACTCTCCCCATAGGGTCACCCACTTCACACTCTCCACATAGGGTCACCCACTTCACCCCCTCCCCATAGGGTTACCCACTTCACACTCTCCCCATAGGGTCACCCACTTCACCCCCTCCCCATAGGGTCACCCACTTCACAGTCTCCCCATAGGGTCACCCACTTCACACTCTCCCCATAGGGTCACCCACTTCACACTCTCCCCATAGGGTCACCCACTTCACAGTCTCCCCATAGGGTCACCCACTTCACCCCCTCCCCATAGGGTCACCCACTTCACAGTCTCCCCATAGGGTCACCCACTTCACACTCTCCACATAGGGTCATCCACTTCACAGTCTCCCCATAGGGTCACCCACTTCACAGTCTCCCCATAGGGTCACCCACTTCACACTCTCCCCATAGGGTCACCCACTTCACACTCTCCCCATAGGGTCACCCACTTCACAGTCTCCACATAGGGTCACCCACTTCACCCCCTCCCCATAGGGTCACCCACTTCACCCCCTCCCCATAGGGTCACCCACTTCACAGTCTCCCCATAGGGTCACCCACTTCACACTCTCCACATAGGGTCACCCACTTCACAGTCTCCCCATAGGGTCACCCACTTCACACTCTCCCCATAGGGTCACCCACTTCACCCCCTCCCCATAGGGTCACCCACTTCACAGTCTCCCCATAGGGTCACCCACTTCACACTCTCCCCATAGGGTCACCCACTTCACACTCTCCACATAGGGTCACCCACTTCACCCCCTCCCCATAGGGTCACCCACTTCACACTCTCCCCATAGGGTCACCCACTTCACAGTCTCCCCATAGGGTCACCCACTTCACCCCCTCCCCATAGGGTCACCCACTTCACACTCTCCCCATAGGGTCACCCACTTCACCCCCTCCCCATAGGGTCGGCCACTTCACACTCTCCCCATAAGGTCACCCACTTCACACTCTCCACATAGGGTCACCCACTTCACCCCCTCCCCATAGGGTCACCCACTTCACAGTCTCCCCATAGGGTCATCCACTTCACACTCTCCCCATAGGGTCACCCACTTCACAGTCTCCCCATAGGGTCACCCACTTCACAGTCTCCCCATAGGGTCACCCACTTCACAGTCTCCCCATAGGGTCACCCACTTCACAGTCTCCCCATAGGGTCACCCACTTCACAGTCTCCCCATAGGGTCACCCACTTCACACTCTCCCCATAGGGTCACCCACTTCACACTCTCCCCATAGGGTCACCCACTTCACCCCCTCCCCATAGGGTCACCCACTTCACAGTCTCCCCATAGGGTCACCCACTTCACCCCCTCCCCATAGGGTAACCCACTTCACACTCTCCCCATAGGGTCACCCACTTCACAGTCTCCCCATAGGGTCACCCACTTCACACTCCACACTTCAATCTATATGACAGTGATCTGTAACCAATAGAGTCTAGACCAGGGGCCTGTTCCACAAAGTTATCCTTGCTATGATTGCCGTAAGTCTATGTTAAGGTATAAAATATGGGCATTACTTTCCGCCTAAGCGCTAAGATCACTTTGTTGAGGTGGGCTCTGACAATCTACTGTTTGGTAGAGGTGTAACGATACAGGGGTCGTGATACGATACATATCACGATACAGTGTTTACTGGTACAAGCTAAGCCAAGTTGATGTTTTTCTGCTCTCTTAAAGATGTGACAAGTACAGTTGAAGAAGGTATAAGGTGTTTATTTACTGTTGTAGCAAATTGTCAGCAATACAGTATGTTTTACTGAAACAACAAACTGGCTTTGAAACTGTTAAACGTATTTCATGTATTTTCTTGAGTATAGTGCGCACCAATGTATAATGCGCACCCCCTCTAGCGGGTTCAATATTTTGGAAAAAAAAGAAATTTGAATATTATGCGCAGAAAAAAATTACACCGTACCCCTTCAGCGAAGTCCGGCAAACGAACGGGTGATGAGAAACTTCGTCAGTAGAGATTCGAAATTTGAGATAAAAAATCACCAGACATGTTGATTTACTGTTTAAATTGTACTTTTTGTTCGGCTAGGCATTGTTTTATATCCAGGGATTAAGATTACCTTGTGTATTTTCTCGTAAACTAAGCCGGACACAGCAATCAGCTGTACACACGTTTTCTTGGAATCTACCGGTGATTCTGTCAAGACACACCCAATGATATAACTTTACAGGATTTTAATGCAAGGATCGGCAAAAGTTGTATCTGAAACTATATTTTTATCAGGAATAATATATTCCAATATCTTGTTAATTTAGATGCAGCTTTACTAAACATATTTAAAATAATAATAACCCTAAGCGAAGCAGCTGATCGCTATTGCCGGTTTTATTTTTTACATGGAACCAGTCTGACCAGTCACTGTCAAGGCTCCCGTGCACATGATTGCGAGAATTACGTGTTGATATAGAATCGTCCAACAAAAACAAATATGACTTTTAATGAATCAAAGTATGGTATTTATGATATATGTATCCTTTCTCTGTCAACTAAAGTTCGTTTCAAGGCGTCAATAGCGGTAATCTGACTGTGGTTGCCGTTAATAACGGTGAGTTGTGCGATCGCTTCACACACGATTTCACCAAAATTAATTAAAACAATATTAAAAGGAATTTTGAATAAAATTAATGAAATAAGTTACAAACATAAGTCCAGATATACAAAGAACACTTTTTATAGCCAGACAGTGTAATTACATGAATAATTTGCGAACTTCAGTATGGATTTGTTGACATGGTATTTCCGGTGTTACGTGCTCACGGTAATGTCTTTCCATGGGGGAAAAAACATCAAAACTCATTAATTCGTGTATAATGCCCACGCCCTTCTACACAGCTGTTGTTTTTTTTGGAGAAAAAAGTGCGCACTATACTCAAGAAAATACGGTAAGTAAAACTGTGTTATGAAAATATCGTATGTATCGCGATACATGCTTTCCAAATCGATGCATCGTATCGTGGGCTGTGCATCGGGATACAATACTGTCTCGCCGTATCGTTACACCACTCCTGTTTGGCATCATGAGCATCGATCAATGCAATTGGGATAAGATGACATGCATCAACCAATTCAGCGAATCTGACCACCTGATCCCGTTAGTCTCCTTTAACGACAAGCATGGATCTTCAGGTCCCTGTATTTGATAGGTAGTGTATATAGTGCCTGTATTTGATAGGTAGTGTATATAGTGCCTGTATTTGATAGGTAGTGTATATAGTGCCTGTATTTTATAGGTAGTGTATATAGTGCCTGTATTTTATAGATAGCGTATATAGTGCCTGTATTTTATAGATAGCGCATATTGTGCCTGTATTTGATAGGTAGTGTATATAGTGCCTGTATTTTACAGGTAGTGTATACATAAAGTGCCTTTATTTTATAGGTAGTGTATATATATGCAACTACATTTCATTAATAGTGTTGTCGTTGCATGTTCTAGTGAAGTGAGCAGCTGACAGTCCTCACCTGAACATTTCCCACCAGTCCAGCTGTGTTGGTGAGGATGTCGATGAGTTCACACAGCACACGTCCATTCTGTACGGCAGACACGCCCTCCACATAGTGGCCCACCTCACTCAGGACAGAATTGGCCCAGTTCAAATATACCTGTCAACCAATCAGAAACAACAATACACTTATGATTAAGTAAACACTTACTTTGCAAGCAATACCAATGGTGCTTGACAGGGAGACCAACAATAGCCTGCAGACTGTAGTGTGATGGTAGACAGAGAATGGAACGTAAATACCTCAGCTCAATTCACTCTCAAGTGGACGTGGGCTTTACGTTGGAACACAAATGTAGGATTGTAAATCCTGACACTGGTGATATTTACCAGGTCACATATGCTAGGAGTAATGGGGTTAGATATGACGTTTACTGAAACAGTGCTGCGCATACAGACAAGTCAACATGATACAATGACATAAATCTCTTGTAGGACCTACAAATAACATGCGGAATTTGTCATAGAAAATAACCTATCTAAAAAGTTCTCTGCCTTTTTAATCTATAACACAATACATTTATTACACTTTTCAAGCCTATGAGGCAAGTGTTTTGTTAGGTAGTGTTGACATGTAGGTTGAGGACAATTCATAGTGCCTCCCAAAAATATATAGCAAAAGATTAATACCCAACTTGGTAGTGATGTTAACAGTACATGGTCATGATAACATTTAGTTATTACCGATCTAATAAATGTTCAGTTTTGAGATGATGGGGTATGCAGGTGGTCAGACTTTAAAGAGATGGAAAAATACCTGTGCCATAGTGTAAACACGGACAAACAAACAATAATTGATGACTCAGCATCACCAAAGTCCTAACAAAGATATCGTAGTTAACTAATATTTTGAACACTGGTGACACAGACAGACAGCAGACGCATACAGACACTAAACAGACAGACAGACAAACACACCTGATTCCTGTGAGTCACACGTAGGGCCAGCAGACAACACACTGACTGTCAAGTATTGATTGATTGTAGGACATACTACACACAGAGAAGCTTGCTAGTGATTGGGGTGGAAGGTGGTGAGGTCCCTCCTCTGCACAGGGTGCTGCTACTGCTGCAGACATGTAAAGCTAGGTATATGCAGCAACCACAATAGTCATGCACACTTATGTTCCAGTAAACCTGGACAGTCTAACAGAGAAACTCTATCAATTACCCTGGGCAGTTACACCTTGACTAAATTCTTAATACTGATATAGCAAACAAGAGTTTCGAAATACAATAATATGACTCTGACAACATGGCAGCCATATTGTCTTGTGTGTCACAGCATGTTAACTCCTGCACTACATCATGTACATAGCATAGCTTACGAAGCCATTTCAGCATGTTCAGTGTCTCAACACAAAGCCAATTACCCAGTGTACAGTTGTTTTAAAACAAAAGATGTTTTACATTAGGAACATCAATGACCCTATGTTTGCATATTTCAGTTTAGCACTGTCAAATCTACAGTAATCTGTATTATAGCCATCTGTGAGATACAAGACAATTTTACATCAAGGCAAGAGATAACAAACATGTTCCAAACTGGGTAAATTACGAGTCTTGTGAGACAACAAGTCCAATTAGAAGTGAAACATGAGTGCATTAACAGAGCATGATGGTATGATGATCTAACTGTGGTCTAATATCACCTAGGATAATGATGACTTTGTCTGATCTAGGGTTGTGCTCTGGAAGATTTTGGCTGCCAATAAAAATGCCAACCTGAAGTTGACAATAGTGCTCTGTTATCTCCTAGAAGTAGAAAGAGGCCAGGGACTGCAGACTTTTTGGCCAATCAGACATTTGTATCTGGTAGTGCTGGGACAGGGTAACATGGGTACCCAGGTCGGGTGGGTACTGACTAGGGCCCATGGTTAGTCACGTGATATATTGTTTAATGACAAAATTATCTAGAACTCCATGGTTACACTACAAGTCACTAATGTTCGCATTTCTTTCTGACTATGCACCCAGGGGGGGGGGGGGGGGGGGGGGGGGGTATCCAGGTAGTAATTTTGGACTCATCCCAGCCCTGGTATCTGGTCATGTCCACCTCATATTTGACAGTTACTGTTGGACATCCATGTAAGCAAAAATAAATTAAAATAAAATAAAGGATCACTTTCAAAACAAATACCATATTTTCTTGAGTGTAGTGTGCACTTCTTGCCATTAAACACACCACATTGTGTTTTGATGTTTTTTCCCTAAAGCTAACTAAAGACATTACCATGAGCACGTAACACTGGAAATACCATGTCAACAAATCCATACTGAATTAACCAATTTAATTTTATATGCACTTATGTTTGTAACCTATTTTATAAAATATATTTAAATTTCATTCAATATTGCTTACATTAATTTTGCGAAATTGTGTGTGAAGTGACTCACTGTTATTGACAGCAACCACATCCAGATTACCAATATTGATGCCTTGAAATGAACTTTAGTTTACAGAGAATGAATACCTATATCATAAATGCCACACTCAGACTCATTTAATTCCTATTTGTTGTAGTTTGACTATTATATGTCAACATTACATTTTCACAGGTCTGCAGGAAGTCTTAACAGTGGCGGGTCAAATTGTTCCATACATAAACAATATCCGGCAATAGCAATCAGTTATGGTTATTATTATTTTAAATACATATGGTAAAAACTCCAACTAATGACATAATATTAGAACATATTATTCTGATAAAATAATAGTTTCAAATACAATACTTCCAATCGTTGCATCAATATTCTTTGAAGTTGTATTTTTTAACGGAAGCAAAGTTAGAATGGTAGAAAATGAGTGTGTTAACATGGTTGCCATTTTTCAAGAAAATACATATGGTAATCATAATTTCTGCATATAAAACAATGCCTAGCAGAACAGGAAATACAGTTTAAATGGTAAATCATCATATAAACTAATATTTGATATCAAATTTCACATTGATAGTGACCAATTTACATTTGTTATTACATTGTATCTACAATTTACATTTGTTATTACATTGTATCTACAATTTACATTTGTTATTACATTGTATCTACATTAGAAGATCTCCCATTTCTCTAAATGAGCATGATGAGTCAATCCTCCCCCTGTGGTGTATCCTGTCCGAACTAGCTAGAGTGTGACACTTCAGAGAGTTCTGGTGAACACTGTTAGTCTCATGCAGTCCCAGATGATTCTTAGAAACGATCCCTCTGTGGTGACTTTCTATGCCAAACAAGTAGAAGCATGCAAACATGAAACCGATCCTGTGAAACACCTTAACTTCATAAACTACTTTGGGAAATATTGGCTTTTCCTTAACTATTAGATATGGGATTAAGTCTGGCATTGTAGGATTTTCGAACAGGGACAATAACTAACAATCCGAGCCCACACTAGCCTATGTAAGTACATAACAGAGTCCTGATGAAACCTGTCTCTGGTTTCCAGGCTGCATACCCTGCTGTTCACAACCCAGTGTGGGAGTAATGCAAGGATTTATAGCATGTTTCTTTGTCAAACGTAAATCATTTCGATTGATTCTGAAAAGATGCAGGTATAAGTTTGAGCTGCACTGTTCAAGTGAAAACATAACCAATATTTTCCCAATTGTTCTTACTGTCCAGGTACAGTATTGATAACAGATGCCAACATTATCCAGGTCAGTCATTGATACAGGTCTATAGAGGTGTAGACAGGCTGTCAGTCATTGATACAGGTCTATAGAGGTTTAGACAGGCTGTCAGTCATTGATACAGGTCTATAGAGGTGTAGACACGCTGTCAGTCATTGATACAGGTCTATAGAGGTGTAGACAGGCTGTCAGTCATTGATACAGGTCTATAGAGGTGTAGACAGGCTGTCAGTCATTGATACAGGTCTATAGAGGTGTAGACAGGCTGTCAGTCATTGATACAGGTCTATAGAGGTTTAGACAGGCTGTCAGTCATTGATACAGGTCTATAGAGGTGTAGACAGGCTGTCAGTCATTGATACAGGTCTATAGAGGTGTAGACAGGCTGTCAGTCATTGATACAGGTCTATAGAGGTGTAGACAGGCTGTCAGTCATTGATACAGGTCTATAGAGGTGTAGACAGGCTGTCAGTCATTGATACAGGTCTATAGAGGTGTAGACAGGCTGTCAGTCATTGATACAGGTCTAGTAGATGTGTAAGACAGGGATGTCAGTCATTGATACATGTCTATAGAAATGTAGACAGGCGGTCAGTCATTGATACAGGTCTAGTAGATGTGTAAGACAGGGATGTCAGTCATTGATACATGTCTATAGAAATGTAGACAGGCTGTCAGTCATTGATACAGGTCTATAGAGGTGTAGACAGGCTGTTAGTCATTGATACATGTCTATAGAGGTTTAGACAGGCTGTCAGTCATTGATACAGGTCTATAGAGGTTTAGACAGGCTGTCAGTCATTGATACAGGTCTATAGAGGTGTAGACAGGCTGTCAGTCATTGATACAGGTCTATAGAGGTTTAGACAGGCTGTCAGTCATTGATACAGGTCTATAGAGGTGTAGACAGGCTGTCAGTCATTGATACAGGTCTATAGAGGTGTAGACAGGCTGTCAGTCATTGATACAGGTCTATAGAGGTGTAGACAGGCTGTCAGTCATTGATACAGGTCTATAGAGGTGTAGACAGGCTGTCAGTCATTGATACAGGTCTATAGAGGTGTAGACAGGCTGTCAGTCATTGATACAGGTCTATAGAGGTGTAGACAGGCTGTCAGTAATTGATACAGGTCTATAGAGGTGTAGACAGGCTGTCAGTCATTGATACAGGTCTATAGAGGTGTAGACAGGCTGTCAGTCATTGATACAGGTCTATAGAGGTGTAGACAGGCTATCAGTCATTGATACAGGTCTATAGAGGTGTAGACAGGCTGTCAGTCATTGATACAGGTCTAGTAGATGTGTAAGACAGGGATGTCAGTCATTGATACATGTCTATAGAAATGTAGACAGGCTGTCAGTCATTGATACAGGTCTATAGAGGTGTAGACAGGCTGTTAGTCATTGATACAGGTCTAGTAGATGTGTAGACAAGGGCTGTCAGTCATTGATACAGGTCTATAGAGGTGTA